CTTAGACACAACTCCTACGGCGTCCTCCTTAGCATGAAATTCCATGGTGTTTCTTCCCCCGTCCACCCGCACCACCACTCCCAGCACTCCCCGCACTCCCCCCCTGCCAGCCCACCACCCAACACGACCCTCACGCCTTTCACGGGCACCTGTCCCAAAACCTCCACATCCCTCAATATCTTCAATTTCTCAACCTCCACCCGCCACACCTTCTCCCGATCAGAATTACTCTCGTCAATGCGCACTTTGCTCGCCGCTCCACCCAAGCTCTGCCATTGCCCCAGTATTTCTCGTACGGCTTTGCCCTTCTTCAAGCTGCCGGGTTGGAGTTTCACTTTGTATTTATATCGATTCAGCGCGGTCCAGGGCGCGCAGATGGGGATTGCGGCGAGCACGACGTCGCCGGGTCGGAGGTGCGGGACGATGAGGTTGATGTTGACGTGTTCGGTGCGTTCTTTGGTTAGTGTTTCCGGATCGAGCTCTTCCGAGGCGTCGCCGGTGGTAGTTGCGGAGGCAAGGGCTCTTGCTTTTTCGCGCTCGGCGGCTTTTTCTTGGTTGCGTTTCCGGCGGTCGCGGTCTGCGGCTGCTTTTGCTGCTGCCGCCTCCTTTTCGGCTGCCTCAGCTGCGGCGCGCTCCGAGGCTTTGGTCGTGCCCAGGAGGGACATGGCCAGGGCTCGGTCTTCCTCGTCTTGGTCGGCGTATTTGGCTTGCGCGCGGCGTTGGGCTTTGGAGCGTTTGCCGCGGGGGAGTTGCTTTGATTTCTGGTTTGGTGGTTGTAGGGTGGGGATGATGGATGAGGGCGTATCTGGTCGAGTTGATGGTGCTGTGCTGGCGGACGTGGTTGGTGGTTGAGATGATGATGCTTGGTCTGCTTCGTTGTCTTCGTCTGTGTCTGATTCTGCGTCACCTTCGTCGTCATGTTCATTGCTTTCGTGGGTGTCCCTTGCCGTATCTGCTCCCGCTGACTGGAGCGGGTTCGATCTCGCTGCGTCTTCATTTTCGCTTCCGTGCTCCTCATCTTCCTCGACGACGTCAGTGTGAGGCTGAGCCGCGTCGTCGTCGGCTTTGTGGTCTTCCTCAAGTATCTCCTCAGCTACACTTCCAGCATCTTCAACGTCCGGCACAGGTTCGCCCTCTTCGTCGTTCTGTGACTCCGCTTGGTCATCATCTTCGTCCTGCTCCTCAGCCGCCTCGTTTGGTGCCGTTTCATCCAGGCTCATGCTTTCGACCGCTTGTGCAGCAGCCGCAGTCCCATCAACAGCACCAACTCTCAGTTTGCCATGGTTTCCTCGACTCTCTTCACTGACCAACCATCCGACTGCGAAACCCAGCAGCAATTGACTAGGAGGCAACCAATTCTTCTTGCCCTTGACCGACACGCCACCACCAGTCACCAATTCCCCAGTAGCCTCATGCACGCGTGATGTCTGATCGACCAGCACCCACCACGCACTCATCACCGCTTTGCTGTCCCAAGCATTGCTCCCACATACGCAGAACGCGCCAGCCTGACTCAGAGTGCCTGGCGGTATTGGGGCATCGGGCGTATCGGGATTGTTCTTGACGATGACCGGCGACGCACCCGTGAGGTCAGCATGTACATACACATCTCCCTTCTTGCAATATCGTCGGTACAGGATCTCGGACTGAGGGGCATCTTTCCCGGACAAGCACAGGTAGCCTTCGGAGGAGATGAACCAGAGGAACTTCTCAAACCAGAATTGTGGGCGGACTTCGCGAAGTACATCCTTTTCCTGCTTCAGGCCCTTCTTTAGGTCATCTGCGATTTTGCGCTCGGTGGATTTGAGGGCTCTACCGCTTGCGAGAATGGTCTTCTGTTCCTTAACGGCTGCTTGTTTCTTCTGGTCATAGTACTGTCTGGCATTGGACCAGGGCGAGAGGGCTAGGTCGATGTCGATTGCGAGACGCTTGTCGTCCGTTTTCATAGCTTTCTTGGCTGTGACCTCTTCTTCGTCTGAGTCGCTGGCCTCGGAGTCCGTTCGATCCTCATCGTCGCTCTCAGAGTCCTCGTAAGTGTCTTCCTCCAGAAGAAGCGTGACTGTATTTTCATGCAGCTTCAGCGGAAGTTTGATCATCTGAGCAACAACATTGCCTCTGGACTGCTCGTTCTCGATCAGCTTGCTGATATTGACCCAGTCCAGACCCTGTGCAATCAACCCATTCACAGCCGCGCAGGCTTCCTCCACGCGATGCGTGTTGGCTTCGATCGCCTGCGCTTTCCGAATATGTATCTCCTGCACGTATTGCAGTGCACCCAGTCTCTTGTCGTGCTCGTCTTTGGCAGACTGTAGTTTCCGTTTTGCTGTTTCTTCGCGTTCCGTCAATCTTGAGGACAGCTTCTGTGACTCGACGGATGAATAGAAGTCATCGACTGCGGCGTTGAAACCCTCAATCTCCACGACATGGGCCCCTGGCTTGCTGTCGAACTGCTTCGGCCGGAATGGGTGGAAGTCGTCATACAGTAGATCGTCCCTTGATGGCTGAGTCCCATCTTCTGGCGGTTGAGTACCTTCTTTTAGCTTGGCCACTATGTAGCCACGCCATGGACCAGTGTGTAAGCTCTCAGATATGCTCTCAGCCTGTTTCAGCGACTGCATGATCTTGCCCATCTTGCTGGCATCCTCCGAGACTGCCGAAATTGGCCATGTGACGTCGACTTTTGTCTCATAGAATGCACACTCCAGCAGATGAGCCGGATACTCTGGAAAGCCGGCGCTCAAGGCCTTCCTGATATCATCGCCACTCTTTGCTCTTTTCGCCATCTTCCCACCTGCCTCTTTGGCTGCTTTGACCCTCGTAGCGGCCTTCTCAAGCGCATCCCGTACCCTGTCCTCAGTGATGGGCGGCACTCCGGCATAGTTCTGCTTCGCGTCCAGGACATACTTGCTGCCCAACCGCACATCAACATCCTCGTCTCCTTCGTTAACCTGCCTCAGCAATGCCAACACATTCAATTCGCCATCTGTGAGTATGATGTTGCCTGCCGCAAAGAACTCGAGGTACAACTTGTACTGCCCGTTGAAGTCAAGCTCAATCACCCGATCTGTCCCAATCTGCCGCACGTCTGTGACCCTCCTGCTCTTGAGGTACTTCCGCAGCCGCCGTACGAAAGCCGAAGGTTCTGCGGCGGTCGTGCGGGCGAAGGATGTAAGGTGGCAGCGGAAGCCGCTGTCGACGAGGACTGAGTGTTTGGAGCCGGGTTTGGCGAATTTGAAGAGGAAGATGCGCGAGGACAGGTCGTAGATGTTGGACAGGCGGTGGTTGATCAGGGTCGAGGACAGTTCGAGCGAGAGCACACGCACGTCGATGCTGGAGAAGCGTTGCTTCATGGTGGCGGCCCAGGAGGAACCTGCTCTATGGACGACCCAGCACTGAGTGAGAGGGTATAGGGATGGATCGGAAGGGCTGGAGGTTGAGCAGTCGCTAAATGTGTTTGTTGTGTGCAGCGTAGAAATTTCGGGTACTAATGACTCTTGTGCCTGCTTCAAGTGACGTCGTCGCTGCGGATCGCAAAAATCTGTGGGGTGACAGGCGGGATGGTGGGGAGGCCTTCAGGCACGCCACAGGAGTTGAAGTGATCCCAAGTCGTTTTCGAGGCAATGAGAACAATTGTATAGTCGCTGCAGGTCTGGAAGAAATCTAGCCGAGCATCATATTCATCTCGTCAAACATGTTGGTCGTGTCTCATCCAAAGCATAACTATATCCCAGGTATCCCAGACGCCGTGCTTCCCCTGCTGCTGGCTTCCTTCGGTGTGAACATCCTCCGCAGCGGACTCGGCTTCTTCACCACGATCTCCTTGCCCTTGACATCCTCAACCCTGCTCTTCCTTCTCTTCTCGCTCCCCTTACTGGACACCTCACTCCGCACTTCACTTCTCGAATTGCTTTTCTTGTCCTTCTTCTCCCGCTTCTCATCATCCTTCGCCTTCTTCTTCCGCTCCTTCTTCTCCTTTTTTGTCTCCTCCGGCACCAGGTGTCCCATACTCCGCGCCGCCATGGGGGTGATGAACTCGCCCTCAACACTCGTGGCTCCGCTGACTATGCTCGCTTCGTATGCTTCGTCGCCCACATCGGCAATGCCTCGTCGCCAGTGCTCGATCCGGTCCAGCTCTTTGACCTCGAGCATCTCGTCCATCGAGCCTTCCTTGTCCGCTTTGGCGGCCTGGATCTTCTTGATGATCTTATATCCACCTATTGCAACGACTGTGACCCCAACACCGACGCCGACTGCAATCAAGAACTGCGGTGAAGCCAAGAGCGCGAAGACAGCGGGTGCAGAGCCCTTCATGGCAGCTAGGGCGCCAGGCGCCATCTTGGTCGCGATGTTGGAAATCTCGGCGAGTGTCAGAGCGACAGCTGCCATGGCATCGGGATTCTTCTGCAGGTGCGCAATAATCGCTTTGACCGAGTGCTGCGCGCAATTGGCCTCGTCCATGAGACCCTTGGCTCGTTGCACGAGGGTCTTCATTTCTTGCTCTTGGAGTTTCTGCTCGGTTGTTCTCGACAGGGCTAGGTCCTTGGGTGCGATGGAAGAGGGGTGGAAGTCGCCGTATGCTAGATCCATGTCAATGTTGGCATCGGAGAAGGAGCGGGGAGCGGATGGTCGGCGGTTCGATTGCTGGAGGGCGAGCCCGTCGGTCTTGCGGCGGGTGAGGGCGTGGCCAGTAGGTGAGCCTGGTGCAGAGCGAGTGGCTGCGAGGTCGTCGTTGAACTGGCCCAGTGGAGAGCGCGGCGAATGCGGGATTGAACGAGTTCGAGTCCTGTGAGGCCGAGCAGAGTCGAATGAAGAGCGGCTGCTCGCTGTCTGACCACTACGTACCGACATCGAGGAGTGCTGTCTGTGGTGATTCTTCATGGAGGGCCGCCGCCGCTCCCGCTGCTGCTCCTCCTCTTCCTCGTCCGACTCATAATGCGCATGCCGTCGAGATCTATGCCGCGGCGCAGAGGAAGCAATAGATCGCCGCTCGTCCTCGTCAGCAATAGTCATCGCCTCGACATGCTTGCGGGCTTTCTGCAATTCACGATCTTCTTTGGCCTTCCGCTCGGCCACGATTTCTGCTTTACGCTCCATGTAGGCCAATTTGGCTTCCTTGAAGACATTCTTGAGCTGCTTGGTCGTGCCGACGACTTTATTCGACTTGTCGACTATAGCGACCGTTTGGGTAACCATTGCTGCCATGGTGAACGGGTAGGAGCCTGTGTCGCTGGTAAACTTCGGTGGTTTGTATGGTAGATATTGTGCTGCTCAGCAACTGTTGCGTCGGATAGCACTACCAGCTCCAGCTCAAGCAAAGATCTCGACTCCGCTTTGACGATTGTTCGTTGTAACAAAGCCAACCTGCAGCGAGCAAAGCAACAACGTCACCGCAACAAAGTGGCGGCAGACTCGAAATAATGGTCTCAACAAAGGAACATCATCGTTGCCGAAACGTTCGAGTGAGCGTTGGGAATGCTCGCTCAGAGCAGGGCGGCAAATGAAAACCTCATGAGTGTCCTGCCAGCCAGTCGATCGAGAGACGAGCTGTTGCAGGGTACACTGCTTAGGAGCAAACTGGCGGGATGTGATTGCGTAGCGCTCGGTCGAATTGGAGGCGGGTTGGCGGGCGGTAATAAAGTCCTGAGCATCGTGGCTGTGGCTCGTGGAGATCGTGGCTGTGCGCACGGAGTTCAGCTGTGATCGACGAAGAGCGGCAGGGGTGCGAGGCTTCTTTGATGCCGTTATCGATCGTCGAAGGAGATGGTATCCCGGAGTCGCCAATGTCCCGAAAGAGGCCATTTGGCGCTGCCAGAAGGATTGAGATTACACACGGGGATGTACCGAAATGTATAATGCTGAGCATACCTGACACGCTCGCCACGGCAAATGCAACGTGATGAAGGTAGCGGTATGGAGATATTGAGTCAATATTCCGACGCTCAAATGCCAGTCATATATCAGCTGCCATTTCGCTAATCCGCAACGACGTCTTCGTCGCAACAACAAAAGTCACACCTGCTCCGACAAGAATATGGCTGAAGTACGCATTGTTCAAATCACTGATCCCGCAGATGTACCAATATGTGCTCAACTATGCCGAGAAGCTGTAGCAGATGACCCATTCATCCGGTTCATGGACCTCTACAACCAAGAAATGGATTTCATCGACGAGACCAAGAAGCGTCTGAACAACGCCCTTGATCCAGCCAACACGGACGAGATCGCCTTCAAGGCTGTTCTGGACGTGCCTGAGGAAAATGGCACGACTCATGAAGAAATCGTCGGCGTTGCTCACTGGTACCATGGTAACGTGACGATACCCAAGTACGACACGTTCATGAAAGAGGTCCAAGAGGAGCCCAATGAGATCATGCCCGACGAAATTGCAGCTGGTTCAGGAGGTAGCACTCCTAGTTCTACGACTGTTGTGTCGCCAGAGCCAGCGGTGGTGGTCAAGAACGCCGAGGAAGCAATCACTCATGTCTATCGACAGCATGGAAATGCGTACATTAGTACGGTCCGGGGGAAGCGGCATGTCTGTGAGTCCGTGCCTTGGCCCTCTTCTGTCCTGAGTCTAATGATTGCGAGATTGCCGCCGAATGATGGTCAGCCCGAAGCACCAGCGCAAGGGAATCGGCCGTAAGTTGATCGAATGGGGCGTCAACAAAGCCGATGAAGAGAACATTGTTGGGTATTTGAACGCTCGGCCTGCTGCTATGAAGCTGTACCAGGCCGCTGGGTTTGAGCCTGTGGCTCCATTGAACTGCGTCATTCCGGAGGGAGACGAGCAATTCATCGTACCGACGGGATATGCGATGTTGCGGAAACCGCGGCCGTTGGCGGATCAGGTGAAGTAACATCACACGATCTTTTTGTAGGTGGTGCCGACATGCATGGCGGACGAAATCTCACCCCATGCGCAGTAGAGGACCTGAGCTTTGCGTCAGTCGCATGGCAATTTGGTGAGGGAGAGGTGACTTACCCAGAATGGGAACACAACCCACAGCATATTGAAATAGGTAAGGTAGAGCCAGAGGTAGATCGGGTCCGCAGTATTGAGCATAGCGTTACCGGACAACCACTCTGGACAGAATGTCATGAAACCACCATAGAGCTCTCCAGTGGCAAGTATGACAGCCGTGAACCAGAGTCGTGCCATATGCTGCCTCTGGACTGTTGCCTGCTTTGCCGTCATAGCCTTGTAGATCTGATAGCAAATGTAGGTCGCAGCTGGTCCGGCCAGGCAAACGGTCAGGAGCTCCAAGCTGACCACGTTGAGATCTGCGTAGCGCCATCTCACGTCCGCCTTGCCGTACTCGATCCAGGGTAGCGCCGAGAAGTGCGTCGAGAAGGCAGAGCCATACCGGCGGTTGGGATTGTTCCATAGCTGAGGCAGATCGTCTGGAGAGCGCTTCCACGTCGTGAGGTCCTTCAAGGTTCCAAGCTCGGTGTAGCTGAAGAAGCAATGATACAAGAAGCTACCCTCGAGGATGAAATGAGTCAGGAAGTCGTAGGCATGCCAGAAGAATAGAACCTTGTACTTCAAAGGCGTTGACTTCGGTAGAAAAGTCACGTTGAGGATCTGGGCCACGCCTTGAACTCCGAACGCAACGATCAGACCGAATATTGTGGCATTATCGACGTGGAAAGGTAGGTGCTCCATGTCGACTTAAGTTCCTGTCGTTAAGTCAAGGGCCTTTGGGACCTAGCTCATTCAACGACAGGAACGCACGTATGAATTCAAGACTCCAAGAGGAAGGAAACATGTTCGGTACTGGTCCATGAAAAGGAGACGGGGCGAGTCTTGGCAGTAGCCGGTCTCGCTTAACCCGCGTCGGCCCATTTCACCTCACTTCACCTGCTATGCTGCACCTGCCGTGGCCATTGAACACGAGTATGTCCATCATCAGATGTCCATATAGAGATGGCAGGTTCCAGCCTCGCGCTACGCAATGCTCACGGTAGGTTTGAATACTGACAGAAATAAGCAGCCAGATAGGAGGCTTCGAAATTACGTGCATGGCGTGAACGCATGTGCAGTTCCCCGCCTTTCAGCCTCCGTCGTAACGTGTCTTCCCCACGGGACCCAAGGCCAAGGTACATCCCGCATCATGTGCTCCTTACGATGTCAACTCTCGGTGCTACGTTCGCGGACGATTGACTTTGCATGCTGACAGTGGTCGCCGAAGATCCGCCTCTGCTTAGAACAGCAACAGGAATACTGCGCAGGTCGTAGCACACGCGACTCTTCCTAGCGTACCTCCCATGTCTGGACCTCCGCGAATACGAGTACTTTGACCCCTCGTCAGGCGGCCGGCCGTCGCCGGAGTGCCGATCAACATACAATGGAAGAGTCGCAGGTAGAAGCTGCTCCAAATCCAATCAAGACGGACGCGAAGGACGGACTCAATGAACCTCCCAAGCTTCCACCTTGCGATCAGTGTCGAAGAAGGAAGGTCAAGTGCGATGGAAAGAAGATACCTTGTGAAAGGCAAGCATAAGGAAGCTGGAAATGAACCATGGACTGACCGAAGCAGATGTACTCAAAGCAAACTACAATGTACGCGCGACATCGCGAGAAAGAAGCGCGGGCCAAAGAAAGGATCTGGCTCAGTCATCGCAAAGCTTAGGGATGAGCATGAGCATGCTTTGGTGCAAGAAACGGGCTTACCACCATTTGATCTATCTCAGCTGGGTATGGAGATGTCAGGCATAGACAGATCATACTCCAACACCAGCTCCATGGCGTCAACACCACTTGGTTCGCCCATCGCCAGCGGCTTCGGAGATATCACGAGCATGCCACGGTCGGTGCCCTATGATGCGCCAGCAACCTTCGCGCAGGGCGGCATACAGTTTCCTGCCTCATGGCAAATGCCAACATCAGATCTCCTGCAGTTGAGTCAGCCGTCGTCGCCGTCTGGCTACATGTCGGTCAACGACCTTGCGCAGCAGATATTCCAGGAGCCGCTTCCGTTGCATGCGCCAACTTCAGCGCCTCCAAGTGTCACAAGCTATCCAACCAGGCCGACCAGTGCGCCACGGACGTTGCATCCCAGTCCGCCCAAACTAGATGCCCGACCACCTTCGATCGATCAGATCATGTCGGCAGGTCACACTCCTACTTCTCCACCACCGACGTCAACAGCCGCAAGCTCGCCGATGCCGGCCAACGGGCCCAAGTATCTGTACAGGAGCGACTCCGGCCCCTACCCTGCAGAGCCACGGATCCTGACTTTGGCCGCTGAAGTCGGCATGTCTGCGTTATTGATAGCACAATGCATCCGGCAGTACTTCCGACACGTCTACGCTATCAGGCCATTCATACACGAGGCCTCTTTCATGGCGCGTCTTTCCCAACCTGAGGAGCTCAACATGGAGGAGAAAGTCCTCATTCTGTCGCTGAGCGCCGTCGTCGTCCTGCAGGATAGCCCTGACGTCGACTTGTCCCTGGGAAAGCGCCATAGCCTGGGTCAAAGGTTCCTCGAACTCGCCATCGTGACCCGAAAAATGTATGATTGGATCGAGCATTCGACCTTGTCCGCTATTCAATCATCCTATTTCATCTGCGTCGCCCTCTTCGAGCTCAAACGGCCGAAGTCACACCACTTCTATCTCCGCGAAGCCATCGGCATGGCGTACGATCAGAATCTCCACCGCGAATCAACATATATAGGTATGGAGCCAATCGCAGCCATCTGTGCACGCCGCACATTCGCCGTGCTCTTCGTCACAGAGCGCGGTCTTGCAATACTGCGAAACAAGTCCGCCACAATAGCTGCACTTCCCGCCGTTCCGTCAGACTTCTTCGACGAGCAAGATCGAATCGTCCTAGCGGGCTTCACTGCCCTCTCGAGCCTCTTCTCATTACTGGACGAAAAGTTCATCGATCTCTGGAGAAGCGATAGCGCGTCCAATTCTGCACCAATTACCAACATCACGAATCTTCAGCACTCTCTTAACAACTTTCGCATCGACTATTCCGTGCTGACAGAGACCCAGAAGGCTGACATCCTTATCACACATCAGTGGCTGCGCTTGATTTTCTGGCAAGCCTCAATGCGCCAAGGCTTGGTCTCCTCAGACGCGACCGACCCTGTCTTCTACTACAACTATCCCATCGTCATAGCCAAAGACTTGTGTCAGATTATCAGCAATGAGTTGAGCTACGAAGCGATCGCAGTGCACGGTCTGGGCATTTTCGAGAGAATCTTCGAGGTAGCATACACGCTCATGGACGCTCTTACAATAGCGGACATGCAATGGGCTGAAAGCGGAGAGTTGAGGGTGCTGTTTGGAGTTCTGGCAAGTAGCCCGAACAGCCAGAATACGTATGTGCGCATGCTGGAAGGAAAGGCGGACAATGCGCCGCAGAGTCCGATCGGGAGTCCTGTTAGTAGCGTGGGCGGCGCTGCGTAGGGTACAGCGGAAATATCCCAATTCGATATACATTTACATCCAAGTTATCTTGTTCAAAGGCATCTCGTCGCTTTTCTGCGGTTCATGCTTTCTACGCCTAGCCGTCCAACAAGCTGCAGAAATCTAAGTGTCTTCCGCCTTTACGACAGAGTAAGCCACAACCTCATAAGGATGTGCCTCCTTCAGCGCCGCGACCGCCGCGACCATGATCTCTCGGCCAAAAATCACCATCTCGACTTTCGACTCCTCCACGAATTCGAGGTCGCCGACTTTGCCGATCACCGGGTTTGCGCCTTCTAGTGGTCCTGTGTGTCACGTCAGCCACATGATCATGCAGATCAAGGTCGATATCCGGCCTTGTCGGTGTCGGACCACTCGTCGCAGACGGTGCGATCACGAACAGTCATGTCCAGTAGAACAAGAAGGGCTACCTACGGAACTGCCCGATCCCCTTCCCAATGAAACATGTCTCTCCGTAGCTATCCCCCGGCCACGTCCCCGCGCCAGTCTTGTGGACTGCCTCGGTCACGGCTTTGCAGTTCTCCACAGGGACATAGTAGGTCAGGACGAATTTCTCTGTTGCTGTAGAAGTAGTGGCGGCGGCGGTGGTGGTGGAAGGCTTGCTGGCCATGGCGTTGCGCCGGTTTTTTCGCGCCCGTTTCGCCTGTATCTCGCGGGCGACGTCTTTGCGGGCGACCTTGTCCTTGTAGGCAACGACGTTGGCGTCGTCAACCACAGGGTGGTACCTGATTCCTAGGGTCCGGTGAGGGGGCGGGAGTTGTTTGAAAGCTGTGAGTGGGCGAAAGGAGGAGGTCCGGAGAATGTGTCGTGTGAGAGATGGGAGGTTGAGAACTACCATGATAGGAGAAGGCGGACAAGGTTAGGATGCGGCAGGGCGTAGGGAGAAAGTACGGTGATTGGTCTTGGCGGGAAGGAATGGCCGAGAGCCTGCCTCGCGTTGTCAAGATAAACCACACCTATGCACACAAGCCATCATAGATCTCATTTTTCATACTCCGAGCAGAAAGGACGTGGGGCTGGAATGTAGATGCAAGAGTGCCAGACTAGAACGAATGAGTCTGAAAGAATTGGGCAAGATCGAGGTGAAGATGCTCGGAGTTACTGCTGATAAATCCTGGTGCACAAGAATTTTCTGAGATCCTCGCTCGCTGACGATTTCTTTGATCTCATACTATCAGAGCAAAGGTCGTCGTCTGTCATCAAATCGTGAAATCAAGCAGCGTTGCAACCTCCATCTAGTGACCAATGTCATGATGAAGGTTGCATTCCTCTGAACAGCCACCGCCTCGCGACCAGCTCCACGTTTACACCGTCTGCTAGATCCGCAAGATGAGGCGTTCAGCAACACAGAAGTTCGGTTTTCCTTGTCTGGAGGTGCTTGACTGTTTGCTTCCGCCAGATCGGTGATACATGACATCGCCGCCGCTGCGACGTCTCATCTCTACTCTTCCAAAGCAAAGAACGAAACTTCGGCTTGGCATTCGCCATATCCATAAGACGGTATTGCCACCATCAATCGTGGGCACCATGTCTGCCACGGATCACCACGATGCATCGGCGCCATCGAGCGTCTACCAGCCTTACACGAACTGCAAGACCCATATTGTAGACCTTCGGTGGCTGGGATTGCCAGAGACCGCCACGGATGAGCAGTACCGCGCAATCTATCAGCAACACGTGAGCAGGCCCGAGGGAGCGCAGTTACAAGCAGCCATTGAAAGCATCAAATATGGTCTTGCTCCTCCAGTCGCCTTTCCGTCAGAGACGGTGTACGGACTTGGCCACTCAGCAGCAAGCACGCCAGGCGTGACGTCCATCTTCGCAACTAAAGGTCGGCCTTCCGACAACCCATTGATCGTCCACGCAAGTTCCATTGCACATCTTGAGCGGCTGATCAATGGCCCGATTTCTCATCGATACGAAGCATTGGTTAAGAAATACTGGCCAGGCCCATTGACGATTCTGCTTCCTGTGCCTGAGCGGTTAATCTTCAGCACGAAGGTCCATCCTGGTCAAGATACAATCGCATTTCGTGTGCCAAGCTCAAAGTACGCACGCTTCTTCATTGCAGCCACAGACTTGCCTATCGCCGGACCAAGTGCAAACAGCTCCGGTAAACCCAGTCCGACGACGGCTCAGCACGTTTTTGATGACCTGAACGGAAAGATCAACTTCATCCTTGACGGAGGGCCATGCGATGTCGGAGTCGAAAGCACGGTCGTTGACGGACTCCATGACCCGCCACTTATCCTCCGACCTGGTGGTGTGAGTCTAGCTGAGTTGAGAGCACTTGGAGGGCACTGGTCGCAGACATCCATCGGCTACAAACCACACGTCACGCGGTCCAACACATCGATACCAAATGGTACCGACGCCAACACCCCCGATTCCAATAACGATACGCATGCTCTAGACCTCAATGGAGCGCCTCGAGCTCCTGGCATGAAATATCGACATTATGCACCAAATGCCAAACTTGTGCTGTTCTCTCAGAATGCCGTCCTCGCAGGAAGAGTTCGTGAAAGATTCGAAGACGTGCGCCGACATGATCAGAATATCAATATCGGTATCATTACTCGCCGCTGGCCACGCTTCGCGGACCTGGCTCCAGCCATTCCCGACGCGCTTTCCGGGAACAGGAGTTCACGCAATTCACAAGCGACCAATGCGCCAAGTGGGGACGTTGCGATCGCGGAACTACCCACACAGTCTCGCAAGCACAGCATCTTTCTACACGAAGTGAATCTGGGACCGGATGTTGGTAGACTAGCACACGAGCTGTTCTTCATCCTCAGAAAATTCGACGACCTTCGGTGCGACTACATCTTTGCGGAGATGGTGGAACCCGAAATCGAAAAGGCGGATGAGACGGTGGTGGATGCTGTTATCGACAGGATTGAGAAGGCTAGCGCTGAGCGGATAGATGAATAGAGCAACTGTAATGGTCGACTTCGGGAGGATGAGTAACCCTGGCAAGCTTCGGCGATATCGCCTGCAGTCAATTAGATCTGTAGGACTCGCGCACTGTGATCGTCCCAATTAGTTGTTGTAATGGATCGAGTAGTAATGTTCTAACATCATCGAATTCGAGCATGGCAGGGTAATCTTTGTCAGCCGCCTGGAGGTGACAATTTCCATGTGAGGTCATCCGGTCTTGCGAATATATTTCCTGGCTGTATGAGTCACTAGGCAACATGGGAATAGTGTCACACTCTTCTACCTGAAGATGCATTCAACTTTCTCAAGCGGTCTGTTTGACATGCTGCAGATCCCGAAAGCACGAACGATGAACACTTCGCAGGAACAATATATAAATGAGGTCGCTAGCCACCTCTGCGAGCGGCACTTCCCAATCACCTACCCACCACGCCTGTATTTTAGTAGTAGGTGACCTCGGTTCCTCCGTCCCAACCAAGACAAGATTTTCCAAGCACCACCACGTCTCCCGCGAAGCATCTTCCGCCAAGCACTTTAGCATGTAACCTGACCGATAAGACTTCCCTCCGGAGCTTGGATACAGGGGCATCACTGGGCGGTTGATGAACTTCCGCCCCGCACCAAGCACGACGCGATGCAACCTGCCTAAAGGATGTATCTGCAGAACTCGCGGCTATGCAGCTTAGTGATTAACATATATCCTGGCGATTCCGCGCGACTGCGCCATGAGGAAGGGCCCTCCTCTCTTTGACTTTGATATTGCTTGCCTGACTGCGTTCCGTTTTGAGGAATAAAAAGGCGGCCAGGCACGTAACGGCCCCACCACCCATTCCGAAGCATCAGACGGACGACTGCTACCTCTCGAAAACGTGAAACCAAAACAGGCTCAGCTCATTACGGGTATATCGTAGTCGGCAGGTTAGACAGAAGAGCACATAAAAAGCTGCAGAAAAAGCAAGAAGACTCAGCTGTTCTCCTCCAGCTCAAATACCAGCAACGGCAGCCGAAGCAAACCGCCGCTACCAGCACCTCTACAACCGTTCCATCTGCCTACAGCCCACTCCCAAAAATAATGGCCTGGACGCCCGACGTCATCGCCGGCGTCACAATCGCCCTCGTCCTCGCCGTCATCGGTTTCGGCGGCTCCCTCTACTGCGCGATCCACAAGAAGCGACGCACCCAAGGCGAAGTCTCCACCGTCGACAAATGGCTTGGGGCCAAAGGCGGGAACAGTACGGCTCTCGGCGTCGCAGGTGGATATGGTGGCTTTGCCAACGCGCCGGGCACGGAGTTGCGGGACATGGATAGGCATAGGGATGTGGAGAGGGGTGAGGGGACGTTGGATGGGGTGGATAATATGGGCGAGCCGAGGGCGCCGCCGCCGGTGTATGATGAGGGGAGGGTGGTGAGGGGTGGTGAGCGGGAGGGGTTGGAGGGGGAGACAAGGAGGAATAGCGAGGTTCCGGGGTATCAGGAGCGGTCTTAAGGTGTGCGAAGCAAGGGCTCGAGTGTTCGCAGGAAGGCCGCAAGCGCTATTTACCAAACAGAGGATGGAAGGCACTACAATAGCGATGGCGAACACATGGTTCATTCTCCCAAAATCTAACCTCTACCGCTCTCACGCTGCGTTCATCCTAATCCTTTGAGCCTTTGCGTCGTGCACGACACGAGGGAACGGCTTGATCGGTTTGTCAGATAGGTGCCTTCCAAGTGCCATCTGCTAGGTCATTCAGCGTTCCCCGATACTCGGCTTTGGACAATCTGTGCAGCCCATCGAAAGAGGGCTCTTTCGAGCTCTCGTCCTTCGGCCTCGAGCTGATACTCTGTTGTTCTGAGTTCCTTAAGCTCTCTGCGGTTCTCCTCCTCCCCGGCCTCGATCAGCTTCGCTCCAGGAGACCACGGCTGGAGTGAGCCCCTGTCCTTCTCAAGCCAAATTCCTCTCATCCTCAGCTGTTTAATCTTCCTGGAATTCGCCGCCCGCCTGATCTCGACGTCGCTTATCCTCTCCTTCATGTCCCGTCTCTCCGCCTTTTGAGCCTCTGTGAGACCTTCTGCCTGGGCCAGTGACGCTTCCGCACCCGTAGCATCAGCTGCGGGACCCGTTTCCTCGACCACAGTGGACGTCTCGACGAACGCCAGTGCACGAATTTGATGTGGCGATAGATGCGCAGTGTAAGAGTAGGGCTCCATCTCCACCTTTCCAGTCTTGTTAGACATGGCGTGGGCAGTGCCGAATGTAATGTGAATTCTGTGTTCTTTCATGACCCCTCTAGCCATGATCTTATTCCATGACCACGATGCGAAGATAGAGCCATCGACCACAGGAGAGCCTTCGAGGTCCCAGAAATAGACGCGGAACTGGTGGCGGCATCTGTAGGCACGAGGCTCGTCTTCTTCCACTGGGAGTGTAACATGTATGTCGATAGTGCTGTTGGGCCGGATCAGACCAGAAGTTGGGTGCATGAAGAATTCTTTGGAAGGGAGTGAGAGAGTGTTGAATGCGACTACCGATTGACTGTTGTTTGTGAGTTTGAGCCACTCGGTTACTTGGCGATGGGTCGGTCTCAAGAAGCCGAGGTGTGTGTCATCGATTTCGAGTGCCATTTCGTCGAGGATGAGAGGTGGTATGATGTAGAGGACGAGTTGACGATGGCGCGACGCTCTGGCGGACGGCGAGGTCGAGGCGGTCTGAGGTCATCCGCCAGGCATCAGAAAGAACTTGCGAGTTCTTAAACAGCTGCGCTGGTGGGTGAAATCAATTGCATTTGTTCCTTTCGCCAAGCCCTTAGTGGACCAGATTTGCCACCTAGTCCGCCGCCGTCACTTGAAGTCCAACTCCGACATCGCCACTGACGCCTGCACTTGGCGACTTTAGTGTGCAACAGACCGGCGGAGTCAACGGTGGTCAAATTTTGATGGATGGTGCATAGTTCTGGGTTTGAGGAGCAGGCACTATGGTAGCGTTGGCGAAAGCAAGGTTCGTTCTTCCTATGTTGCTTTTTGTGCTTCTCCATCCTGGCCATATTCTATCATGGCGCTACGGATACTCATCGATTAAGCACGGTCCACGTCGCAATTCGCGGTCTGCTTGGAGTTGTCGTTGTGTTGGTGGTGTCTCAAGATTGTCTGCAACCATCGTTGCTGGGAGTAAAGCGACTATCCGTGCTGCTCCAGCTGGGTCCGCATAGAGTGGTAACCCAATGTCGGTCGCCCCTAAGCGCTTGTGCTGCTGACCTGTGTCTTCCTCCTCACAATCCACCAGACATCCTCACCTTTGGTTCTAGCATCTGCTCTCGACTTCTTCTCCACGGCGATGAGCTTGCTATACTCTTTCTGCTGTGCTGCATTCGCCGTGCCGTCCAAAATTGCACCGGTCAACTCTCTCAGATCCGCATCCATCTCTGCTCGTGCTGCCAACAGACGTCTCGTGGGCGCGTCTTTGTGATCAGGGTCACGCGCACCATCAACGATCTCAACATTGTAACACTTGCGGTGCTTCTTCTTCTTGCAGTACGGGCAATCGTTACCATGGGGGCGGCCTCGGTCTAGGTCGCGTGAAAATCCCGCTAGAACGCCGAAGAAGCACCAATCACGGTCTGGGCGGCGTCTGCAATGCTTGGCGACATCTCCCTTGAACTCTTCTGGCGTCCAGCCCTTCGCGTAGTCTCCTGGTGGCGGTGTCGAGCCATTTTCGAATAGGCGTTTGACTCCTGCTCGGAAGTCCTCTCGATCGTCGACGTCATTGAACATGAAGAAAACGTGCTTCATCACGCTTGCGACTTGCTCGGCGGTGACGCTGCGGGCTTGCGCATGTGGCGTACCAGGAGTGAAATGTAATTTGAGCCAGACCTTTTGGTTGGTGGCCAACGAAGGCTGTAGTCTCGCATCATCTGCCGGACTCGATCGACGTACAGGTGCATGTTGTGCAGGAGGCTGCAGTGTCTGTCCCGTGGATATGGTGTGGGCTGATTTGAACCTCTTTGCTGGCGGCTCGTTAGGCGACTCGTGAGCCCGGGTAGAATGGTCGTTCTCCTCATCTTGATGTCGCTGGGCTGCCACTACGTCCTCGTCCTCCTCTACCTTAATCTGCAATTGCTGACCATCCTGCTTAGCGTCGTCGATAGCTAGATCGATCTCATCCGTGGGGCCAGCTTGCTCTGACTCATCTGCCAGGTCCTTCAGCGTACTCCATCTGACATGCACGCCCTCCTGTTCCAGATATTCGACTGCAAACAATTCGAATAGCGCACTGGCTCCCCGAAGTGATCGTCTGTCTTGCACAAGTTCAAGATCCAGGACCTCAAGCTCCTTGATTTCTCTGCGATTTTCCTGAAGAGCAGCCTCGACCTCCTTCACGGCTCGCAACCGGCTGTGTGCTTCGAGTGCAAGTCTGTCCTTCTCAAGTTCGACTCCTGTTTCATTGAGCTCCTGGAGCTTCTTGCTAGTCTCCTCCCGCGCAACATCATTTGTCCGCGTGCTCTCGTTGATGTCACGCCCGTTATTTTCGAGGAATCGTCGGAGACTGCCTGCTCGCTTCATCGTGATCTCGGGAGCAGTGGCCTGGGAGACAGGCCGATCATCCTCGGCCGGCGTGGGCTTCTCGGTGGGAGTAGGTAGCTGGATCCTGGTGAGGATAATTGCGCGCTACAGGAGGGCTGGCGTTCGGTGGTCTCAGCAACAGGGTTTTCGCACTCGGTCTGAGTCGACTTCTCGGCGCTGGCAGGTGATACGACACGGATCTCCTTCCACTGAATGCGGCTCCCTGGTATAGACCTAATGATCGGCCACAATGACTTCGCGGTTTTCTTGCCTCGATCGAAGCCGTCAAGATCGGAGTAATGGAGGAAGATCTTGCCTAGGATGGTTCTTTCGCGGTCAAGGTACTTCCATGGGGGGCGCGTCGGTCGGAGATGGACTTGAATCTTGACCTCGCTGTTGGGTTTGATGAAGCCGCAGTTGGGTTGAAGGCAGTATGTCGAGTCATCTATACCAGAACCCGTCATGTCGAGCCTGAATAAGACAACCGAGTCACCATTGTTTGTCACCGTCAGCGTCTCATAGACTCCGTATTCCGAGCATGGTCTCGTAATGGCGAACTCGGATGGATGGCATTCGACCGCCATTCCAATAAGATTGAGAGACGTGAAAATGAAGAAAGCGAATCGTCGATGGCGCAAAACTTCGTTGACAGCGAGATCGAAAAAGTCTGAAATCATTCGTATTTTGTGAAGTCCCGTAAAAGCGGTGCCGGCGCAAACAGCGAGGTCTCAAGTGAAATGAACTGCAGTAAATACCTTGCCAAGCCTCCCTCCGCCTTGCGACTGCTGCTCAGCACTTGACAGATGCCTACCTGGGTTCTCAACGCAAAGTTGGATAGTCGATCATTGCATCAAGCGAAATCGTCATCGCGATGCCCTTGAGCGCCTGCGTCGTCCACCTGTCGGGCCACATGACTTTGCAGGCGACTTGTCCCGTAGCCATTTCCTTCATCATCCTATCTATCTTGATGTGCTCATCCTGCTCGTTACTATCGAGCTCCATCGCCGTCCAAGCCGTTCGGCCATCTTGCTCACTGTAATCGCCTTACCAAGCTGCCTCGTTCAATAAGTTCTCCAGCGCAGCTTGCCTCACAGCCTCGGCTTCGTCCGCCGCATCCTCCGCATACCTATTCGCCGTTGTTCGCCACGACTCACGTGCTGCACGGAGTGTCAGGTACTGTTCCTGGAGATCTTTGACCTTGTGCTGAGCTTCTTCCCACAATTGCTTGAGTCCTGCATCTGATTCCAAGTCACATCCTTCGAACTCGTTGACCTTGTCGTACGCCTTCTCCAGCGCGGCTTCGATCTCACGCGTCTGCTTGTCGATGTCCCGCCGCTGAGCCTCGAGGGATTTTCGAGTATGGCCTGCTCGTGATGCGAGGAAATTCGAGGAGCAGATAATCGGCTTCCGAACTGACTCACGGATATCGAGAATTGTAGCGTTGGGAGACATGGTGATAGTGATCTGATTGCCTTGAATGCGGCCTTCCGCCATGATGTTGAAAGATGATCAGGAAGCAATGATTGACGCAGCCGAGAGTTCAGAGTCATGAAGACCGGAGAGCGTGACGACGAAAGTGACGTCGTCCCTTGTGAGGTTGGGTGGAGGGTACACTTTCGACTCGCGGATCAGGACCTGGATATCAACATTGCTTCTGGCCTGGATCACACCGTGGGGGTGTGCCGAGCTATTTCCCCAGACCTCGAATGCGACATCCGAATCAGCGATGTTCGTGAGAGTCAGCGTCTCGATTACTTCGCGATGAAGCGCCATGTCGCGGGAGTTGAGAAATGTGGTAGTGTGGAGGATGTATTGCTGGCGGCTCGATATGTTATTGGACTGCGCAAGCGAGAGAGTTGGTAGATCCTTTGTCGGGCTCCGATTATTTATCAGAAAGACTTCTTTAGCTGTGCTGGCGCAAATTGACAGGTTCGCTGAAAACTGACTGCAGTAATTCCTCTCGCCAAGACTCCGCAAGGCAACTTTGCCCCCCAGCCCACCGCCCTCACTTGCCAACAAGTAGCCCCTGATGACCGCCCATAACAACTATCTCCGGTTGCCTAGTCGCAATGGTTATATTTTCGAATTATAGAAATTAGTTTCGAAACCCGCACCCGAGGCACGCGCTATTGAGTCCCTGATGCGTGAGTAGGCCAAAGATCCCCAAAAAGAAGGGCAAACCTCAGTAGTACCAGCCACCGGCGGCCGGTTACTGTGGGAAGATACCAATTAGATAGCAATTCGAGCTGGAACTAGGAGCCAGTAACTCGAGCGGAGGGAGAGATAGGGTGCGGGATTTCAACTTACGTGGTTCGGAGGTGGGCCCGAGCGAGAATCAGGTGATCTCGTGATGACGGTAAACTAGACGACTTCGTTTTTGTTATCTTGCGTTCGAGTTCTGGATGCCGATTGTTTTTGCTTTTTTGCGACGGGTCTGTGTGCTGCCGGCCAAGGCGTGCGTTGCCAGCGGAGTTAGCGTGATTGTCGTGGAATAAACTTGATCGCGACATGATATTGCCGTCGTTGAACCGTTAGAGATTTTCCCGTGTTGCTGAGTTAGCTCATTGATCGAGCCCAACCTTTAGCACGTCTATTGCATCGATCTCTCGAGAGTCGACATCCACAGAGGTTGGCAGCGTCATCATCAAGAATCCTGCTGTCGTCAATTTTCCTGCCGGAACTTAGCTTTCGGGCCGTATGGCTATCGCAACAGCGCTCAGTCGGTCCCTGTGTCGAAGATGTCCGATGCACAAGCATGGAGTTTGGGATCCCGCCACAAAGCCTTCTTAGTCGACGTCTTGGATGCCTACCTGGTTTCGGCTGCGAACAGCCTCGAGTGAGTAGGTTTGGCGCGACGTGAGCGTTTGTCCGTTCTCGGATGCTGGCTCAGACGACCGGCGTCCGCGTCCTGTGGTCCACCTCGTTGCCTCCAAGGGAAGTCTTTCCCTTGTGGAGAGAAGGCATGAAGGAGGTGTGTTTGAGCATCAGAGCGAGCTCTAGCTTCAGATTCTCGCCGTCTGCTTCCCATAGCCCATCAACCTAATCTTCGTATCCGCACCCTCATCGACTTACGGTCGCAGGAACGCAGTCTCGAACCTCGACGATCGTGTTCTGGGGCGGCATCAGGGTGCGGGACGGCGTGTGGGGGCCGTGCGAGTGCACTCGCCCGTTGGCTCACATCAGCTCGAAGCCGGCAAGAAAGCGCTTGAGTGCCAACGCATCGCGGGCTCGAGGCACTGCAGGACAAGAGCAACAAAAGCAGCATGCAATTGCGATGAGCTCAAGATCAGATCAGATGCGGTCGTCGAAGTTAAGGTACGGCGAACTTAATCCACATCCCATGGCCGATTGGCCGGAGGGCGCTCCACTGGATCGTGACTACCAAAACATCAGTCTCGTCCACAGTGCGTTCCTGAGAAGCGAGAGTATGCGCAAAAAGGGATGTGTGGGAGGAAGCTGGCGTCTGAGACTGCGAACCAATCGAGCTGATGGCTTCACTACAGCATGGAAGGCACAGTCACTGCTGCTCAGAGGCTAACCCTGACACGAGTGCCACTTTCCCACCAGATGCCATTTCTATTGCAAGCAGCCAGTAACGCAATCGCTCTTCGCACGATTAGATCGCAGCTGCCGTGCTCGCTGCTGCGTCAGGGCCTCGCTGGAAGGGCAAGTGCGACATGTGAAGTATCTGGCTTCCCCACAAGGACGTATCAGATGGCATGATTCACGGCTGTTTGAGGCTAGGCTTACATTGTTGGATGGCGGTATGAGAACGCCACGCTGTGAGCGGTGTCAAATTTGTAACCCTCTGGCCCTTTCCCTAGCTAAGTACGTAGCAAGTATTCGGTCGCTGATGGCATCTCAAGAACTAGATGAGATCCTTCTCAAAGTAGCCTGAATGGCCTTTCTCCCCAAATTTCCGTCCGGCGCCCTCACAGCATGCCAAATACCCTCTTCAGAACAGCTCCGCCCTTCTTCAGATTCTCGACCCTGATCCTCTCGTTGTCCAAATGAGCGTTATCGCTCGCCTGGCCCATCGGGAACATTGCCGCGTCCGCTCCAAACTCCTTCTCCAAAAAGCTAATCGCAGGTATCGAGCCGCCCTCACGTATGAACAGCGGTTCATGAGGCGTGTTTGCGGAAGTGAAGGTGCCGGAGGAGGCAAGGGTTGATGCGCGGCGGTGCGGAGGCCGCAGTACTGGGCTGATGATCTCGGAAATGCTTGGATCAGGTGGCCTTGATGCAGAGTCTGGGAAGGAGCGACCGCCATCATCTGACTCAGGATTCCAAACATCGACAATTGCGGAACGCAGGGACTGAAACAGAGGAGAACGCGGATTGCCCAGCCATGGGTCGGCTTTGGCTGTGATACGCACCTCCAGCTTATTGTTGCTGTGCAACTTTGCGAATGATTTCTCGAGGTGAGCAGTCAGACTCGTGGCGACCTCTTCTGCTGTCTGTGACGGGACGATGCGTATGGAGAGAGTTGCTTGAGCAGTGCGTGAGATTGTGACAGCAGTTTTGGCCTCTGGAACGCTGATCTGGTGAATTGTGAGGTTCGGGTATCGCCACCTTTGCATCAGTGACTGCGCGAACTCTTGCTGTGACTTGATCTCCGGATGGCCAGCCAGGAGTGAGGAAGCGATCTGGTTGTATGCCGCAGACTCACCGTCAGTCAGCTTGTCGATGCTGCCATTGAAACCTGGAATGGTGATGTCGGTGCCATTGGGTCCAAGGATGGTTGAAAGAAGAACGGTGAGATCCTTGAGCGGCTCGTGCTGCACTGCTTTTCCGTCCATACCGGAGTGCAGATCTGCCTGTCGAGAGGATGTGATATTCACAGTTGCATGTACGACTCCACGCATGCCGAATGTCAGGCATGGAACATGATCATCGAGCCAGTAGCTGTTGCTCAGGAGAATGTGGTTAACAGGTCCTATAAGATCGTGATGTTGCTGGACGGTCGGACGGAATCCTCTGGAGCCGGCCTCTTCATCACCTTCGAGTAGGAAAGTCACATTACAGGAAAGGCGTGATTGCTGAACAAGGTCCGCCACAGCGTACAGAGCTGCCAGGATCGGGCCTTTGTTGTCCGAAACACCACGACCATAGAAGAAGCCATTGAGTGGTGTGAGCGAGAACGGGTCAGCGTACCAGTTCCGTCTCCCTTTGGCGTTGACAGACATCTCGGCACCCACGACATCGTAGTGTCCGTAGAACAGGATAGTCTTACTGTCCTCGGGTTCGGCTGAGGCTCTGAACTTGGCTAGCAGGATCGGACTGACGCCTTCCTGGCCAGCAGGAGAGAGCACAGTTGCGGTAGCCCCAAAAGCGTTGCATAGCTTGCGAAGGAAGTTCGCAGCTTCGTGGCAATCGCGAGCGTGCCGCGGGTCGACGGATACAGTCTGGTAACCAATGAATTGCCGCAGAGACTTGAGCAGCTCATCGTCACTCTGCACCGCCTGCGCGACTGAAGTTGCTTCGGGATCTTTCGGGTCCCAGATGGCGATAGTGTTGTCGTTGCCTCCTGTCGCCAGTATTTTGCGGCTTGGTGTATGTGAGTGGTAAGACGCCAGGATTTTCCCGTTATGTGCTTGCCAACTTGCGACTTCCGAGAACTGGCTGTTGAACTGTGTGAGCAAACCACCGCTTGAGCCGGCTATCACCGAGCCACAACTGATCTGTGTCTGTAAAACATCGTCTTGACCGACACGAAGCTTATGGACCAGCTGGCATGAAGAGAGGTTGTAGATGTGAACGACTCCTCCAGAAAGGCCAGCGTACAGAAATGAGCCAGAGTATGCAAGGCTCAGAACGCTCAAACCTTTGTTCCGTAGCTTGAAGAGCTCGAGTACTCCGCTAGATGTTGCTTCGATCCGCCACAGCTTGATTGTGCCGCCACCGCCACCCGTGATTAGGACTTCTTCTTCTGCATCATGCTGGAAGAGGCCTTTGGCGAGAACCATGGCAAATACATAGCTTTTGTGCGAGTATGCCTGGTAGTTCTCGAGATGCACAGTGTGACGACGGCCTCCAACCTTCAGTGTGCCGTTCGGCCCTCTCAGTTGCAGAGGATCTTGCGTTCCTCCTGGCCCGAAAGAGTCGAAGAAGCGGTGTTTTCGTGCTACGGGACTGAACGGAGTCTCTGGTACTGGGACGCCATTGCGCCCTTCAGGCACCCTATACCAGCTCAGACTTCCATTCTGAGCACCAAAGAAAGCCAGGCTCGTCCTCGCCGAGTAGGCACGCAGAACACATCGCCGATCTCGAAAGGCGATCTTATGCTGTGTAGTGGCTGTAGAGATTGAGTTGACCAGACATTGACGACATCGTCAGCTCCTGAACTGAAGAGAAGCTCCTGCTGTGCGCACAGGTCCAGACCCAGCACGCTGTCTTCGTGGGCCTGTACCTGGGATACCAGATCGAAGGTGTCGAGTGAATAGGCCGCGATGAGTCCGCCGTCTAGGCCAGCAAAGAGAATGTCATCGTCGATGACAAGCGCCTGGACGCTGCCTGTAACGGTGATGCGGTGTAGAAGCGCTTTGTTATTCTCCATGAGGCCGGACCTGGAGGAGTGGTGACAATGTTTCTCTACCTTGGGATCATGGTGGGGAGCCCCTCAACGGACACGATCCGGCATTTGTGAAGGTCGCGTATTGACTCAGACGATGCACACCGCCTACACGGCTATCACACGGCATCTCAAGGCGGTTTCGAAAGAGTGCAGGTCAGATGGTCTATGAGACCAAAGTTTGAGATGACGCCATTCAATGCCAAGGAAATTGACATAGAAGGGGCAAGCACCAAATGGTCATTCCTAGGTACTGTACCTGCACCCAGAATGGCTTTGAAGACGCCGAGTGCTGCGAATTTGGTCAGGTCTAATAGTGATACCAGTGTAAATCAGTGCTTTGAGACAACTGCTGCCGTCGCAGTTGAGGGTATCTCGTCTACGTAGTCTAAATTTCTAGCTTGCGATGCGCCAATGAAATGCAGATTGTCTCCCAATGAATACGTGCAGACCGACCGCTGCAGCAGATCCAGCTTTGTTGTACAGTGAAAGTGACAGGTGCATGGAGCCAAAGAAGCTCTGCCGCCAGTATTCCGGCGTTCCGACTGTCGTCCTTCGACCACTCCACCAATGACCACGTGTAAGCAGAGGCCCAAAGTCTCTTACTGATGGTCCTTTCTCCGCGTTCTGCCAGCATGCTGGTAACTCGGCTCTTCTTGCGGCTCACTGTAAGGTTTTGGCATACGCCGGCCGCCTTTCCAAGATCCAGGACCAGAGGAAGCAACGCCACCAGCTGGAGCATTCGCCTGACCACCACGACCAACATGCGGCGCATTCGCCACGACATTCAAGCCCCTGACACCCTTCAATCCCATCTTCCCGACCGTCGACTTTTGCAGCTCCGGTACACCGCCAGCACAGAGAGCATCAATTGCGTACCGATTTGCATGTTGGACGAGCTGCTCCGGAGTCCAGTTCAGGGCTTTGAGATGAGCCTTGTAGTAGCCTAGCCATGCTTGGTAGGCTTTGCCTTGCATCTCGCTGTTCGCAGCAGTTTGCTGCACAAGCGCTGTGTCCTGAGGACTGATGTCGGCCTCGGTCGGGACAAAAGCGATCTCCTTCAGACGATACTTAGGGAAGAAAGATTCTGCTTCGGCGATGATGAAGATACCACGACCGTCTCGTCCTGCACGTGCCGTTCGACCAAGACGATGGATGTAGGACTCCTTGTCTGTAGGCAAGTTGATCTGCACCACAGTGGACACGTTCGGAAAGTCCATGCCGCGCGCAACAACGTCAGTAGCTATGAGGATCGCTGAGGACGCGGTGCGGAACGCATTGGTGACGTTTGTGCGCTTCGACTGCGACATACGGGCATGAAGTGTTGACACTGTCGGAAGACCGGAGGCCTTGGAGATAGATTCGGCGAACCAGTCAGCTTGAGCTGCAGTAGGACAGAAGAGAATGGCCTTGAAGTTGTTGATGCCAGTGGAAGCCACCTCACGACGAAGGGTTGAAATTGTGGCCGGCAGCACATCTTTGAAGTCAGGCACAGTGACCAGAAGCTGAGTCACGTGCTCGTGAGTATTCAATTCACCAGCTGGAATAGTAGAAATGAATTTGTATCCGGGCGACAGAGCCAAATGGGCGAATTTGTTGACATGGTCGGCAATCGTGGCCGAGAACAGCATACCTTGACGTTTGGTTTCTTCCTTGTTCGGCAGATATGAGATGATGGCCTTAAGTTCGGCGGCGAACCCCATGTCAAGCAGACGATCGGCTTCATCCAAGACCAACGTGTCGAGGCTAGAAAAGAGTTCGACAACATTAGGGTTTCCAAAATGATCCTTGAGGCGGCCGGGAGTGGCGATTAGAATGTCGCAGCCACCGAGAATGTCGCGTTCTTCTCGGTCCTTGTTCGTGCCTCCGATAGCCCACTGCACCTTGTACTGAGGCAGTCGACCGAGCAGTGAGGATGCCTCCTTCGCGATCTGCAGCGCTAATTCCCGAGTTGGCGAGATGACGAGCAGAGAGACCTTCTTCTTCGTAGTGGGTCGCTTGTTCATCAGGGTCTGGATTGCTGGCAGAAGGAAGGCCACGGTCTTGCCAGTCCCTGTCTTTGCTTGTGCCAAGCAGTCGACGCGATTGTGCAGAAGTTCGTGGAGAGTCGCTTCCTGTACCGGTGTCATGTGATCGAAGCCAAGATCCTGAGTGATAGTCTCGATGAGGGTTGGATGAAGGTCCGCGGCAAGATCTGCGAACCTCATCGTATCCTGTGGCACGGCCTCGGCGAGAGGAGGAGTGGAGACCTCCGGCAGGAGGCGCTGAGACGTGGTTGACATGTTTGATGCGCCATTTCTCGAGAAGGGATTTTGTCGATGTGTTTGCGGCTTGCGCTTGTTTCCAGCTCTATTGGGTGCCATCGCAAGTGGTAAAATCCTTAGGGTTGGACGGACTTTGCTGAGGGTGCTCAAGCAGTGTTGGTTGATACGAAATTTTTGGAGAGGTTGCCTTGCATGGTGTCCGGACAAGACCCCGCTCGAGCAGCAACAACTTTGAGGGTCAAAAAGACTGACACGGCCTGTACTGCGAAGAGTTTTGTACTGTCCAAGTCGGACAGAAGCAGAAGTGGCAAATGACATTGAACAAAGGACCAACAATCCAAACATGCAGGTGAAGATTCGGCGACAGAGACTGCCTTGTCTTGGCGGCGCGTCACGCGCGTGTCACGTGATGAGGTACCGCGTCAGGTTCAAGTTCATGACGACCTCGAAATCTTTCACCTCGGGGTCATTGACAATGTATCTTGGGCGGGCGCCCATTGCCAAATATGGAGCCGATCGGTGAAGCCTGTGGTGGCTTTTGGACGTGCAAGTTCACGGGATCCGATCTACACGCAGTGTCTCGCCTCTGAGAAGCATTCGTGCTGCCTACATCCAGATCGAGTTCATCTCGGGCATCGGACCACTGCTGCGGGCACCGGATCCCGTGGAGGGTGCCGGTATTGAAATTGGCTCAGACGGCCAGTCCATCGAAACAAGATCTTCCATCGTCGGCCACGCAAATTCCGGGAATGACTCTTGCAGCCATACCAGATTTTGAAAAGACTCCGGCGAAACGCCAGCATGAGCTGCGTTGGCTTCTGAGAACACTACGTCAGCAGATGTTGTCGACTGCGGGAACTGACTTGACTCACGTTGATCTTCGTACGGGTTTTCGATGCCAGCAAATTCCGAGCGCCACCACCAGAAGCAATCGTAAGGTATACTCATTGCCAATCTGCTGCCGCAGCGCAATGACAGAGGATCTGTGGTGCCATCCGACTTTCGGAAGACTTGCTTACTGTTCCAGAGTTGTGTCAGGATCTTGGCTAGTCTCGCCATGATGTCCTCCGGTTCCACTGCTGTCTTACGAGCGAGCGAGATCGAGGTGAAGTACGCGGCCTTTCCCCTTTCCGAGTCCACATTCGCTGCCATATGCGACCGTGACAGCTTCAGCAGAGTGAAAGCGGCAGTGCAAAGGTATTTCATAGCTGCGAGCGGCGCATGATCGCAGAAACCTTCGTTTCTTTCCAAGATATTCATCAATTCGATGGCATCGCAACTGAGGCTGTGCATCCTTGCTAGCTTCGCATCATCGAGCGACTCCCTCGGACCCAGGAGATGGAATGATAGGATCTGAAGCTCTGCCGAAATGAGGTAGAATCGGTCGATGTCAGCCGGACACTCGGGTTCAAGGTCGGCCAAGGTGAGCGATGCAGCATCGATGAATGGATTGAGGACCGGCCCTCGCTGTGCCATGGGTTTCGAAAGCGCATATCTCTCCAGCTCCAGAATGGACTCCGTCAGAATGCGACTCAAGGTCTTCTGAAACCTCAAAGCCGGCTGGAGTGCGTTCAACGACTGGGCTTGGCAGTAACTGTGGTCATAGTTATCGGGAATGTATACCGGAGGCACGCCGTCTGTGCAGCTCACTCTCTGGCAAACAACTATGCAAAGTGCCCAAAGTCTTGCTCTCGCATACAGTTGGGACCGATCTGCCGTCAACTTGATGCGCGCAAAGTCTTGCCCGACGCCGAAAATATGCATGCCAACGCTTAATGCATGCTGAAGCAATACACCAGACAGCACGTGAGTGATATCCTTGCCGATCGACGAATGCGGTATGGGCCAAGTACACAGCAGCATGAAGGCTTGAATTGTGTGAAGCGACTTCTCGATCGCGAAGGCTGCGTTCTTGGTCATCTCCACTATTGGTGGCGTAAGCTGCGATAGTAGGGTCGGATCTCGTGGATATTTGCGTGAACCAATGGTCATAATCGTCCAAAACAGATATCGCGACTGGTTGTAGCATTCGTTTGGCTCCATCGGCCCCTCTACTGCTGGCATATGTGGAGCATACTTCGTGAAGAACAGGCGGAAGCAGTCATCCACCGCAGTGGCCGTGACTTCGACTTCCTTCAGCGTCCGAGGATGAGTCTGCTCCCGTGGAGCATTGGAGACCGGATCAGGAGGGACACCTGCTGAACTAGGACGGAAGCCATCAATGCTTCCATTTCTCGAAGTCGGGATGTTGTTGCTTGGCGGTAGGGAGCTGCTGTTGACCGGCGTCAATGAAGGCCTAGTGTTTGTTGAGTTCGATGCAGGGCTTTCGTGCGGAACATGATGCATCTGCTGCCTAAGCTGTTGCAGTTCCTGCTGCAGCTCCGATTTCCTATGCCCGGGAAATCAGTCCAAGTAGACGTGCAGCCCCTCAACACCATCGCACCTACGTTTTCCGCTTCGCCCGCACGAAATTAGATGTGATAACACATTTGATGTCCCTCCGTCGACATCTTGAGCATCTGTCGTTCGGATGCTGAGCGGCGTCGCATCGAAGCTGCCAACGATGAGCAGATTCCAATGATCGGACCAGGCTACCCACCTTCTGCTGCCGGCACTCTGTGCAAGCCTTAACCCGAGAGTTCCGCAAATGCGCCGGCTCAGAATCCATTGTAGTATGCGCCGTTTGCGAACTGCGGTCTCGAGTCCGATGCTCGCAACTGCGTCTTCGCCAGCTTGTTGCTTTGCGGGGCGTACGGCAAGACTAGAACGGTGAAAAGGCACAGCGCAAACCAATTCGATGAGGCTGGTGAAAGGCTGAGGTACAGAAATCTGTACTGGCTCGACTGGTCGACGATGGCGGGGTCCTCGCCTACTGGCAACCCTGCAGCAGGTGTGGGGTTGCTGTTTGACAGCTCCCTAGCTCAAGCCACAGGTTCATCCTTCTCGGCTCAGCTCAGCAGCTTATCACACACAGTACTTGAGAACATGATCTTCTCTACTGCAGTCGATTCGCGTCTACGTCCGCCACCAGTACGATACTGAACGGCACCCGTTGAATGCGGATCGCAGCCCTCGAATGCAATGTCGTTTGCAATATTGGTGTAGCGAAGAAAGCAACAGGAACGCTTGCTTATCCAAGAACCAGGTGCTGGACAAACCTATTGACCACGGCACGTTCACGGCGTCGATGGCCGTTGAAAAGACCTGGGCCGTCTCGAGCGCAATACTCCGCTGTGCGCGGCTATCGCCAACCTCGGAATATATCATTGGAACGTGCCCGCCATCTGTTTTCTGCGTACCTGAGGTAGGTGTTTGTGAGGCTTTCAAGCAGCGCATCAGATTCGATTGTGCTGCCTTTGACGAAGGTCATCAATGCCCTAGTCCTCCATCTACCTATACCTACGCCTTTCGAGCGAAGTGCTGCCCGGACATCAATCCCACCGCTATCTGGTGATAGTCACTACATTATGCTAACGACAGTTTTCGGCTCAAGCTTGGGTGTTTGACGTGCGCCGTCGTCAGGGATGCATGGCTTCTGAAGGCCAATCATATCGACCTTGACTGTTGCTGTCGTCGTTCCTTCAGCCTGACATCGGAACGCTGCAGCCACCCGCACTTCGATCTGACCGTGCGTCGTCCTGACAACTCTGCTTCTTGACCCAGGCGTTACAGATTGAGGCGCTTTGCTTCGGTGTTCTGTGCAATTGTTTGGAGTGTCCACAAGTACCGTTCGGTGAGTTTTAACACGCTACAATGGTCGCCTCGGCGAGTCGCGAGACCAACGAGGTGTCTCAGCCTTGGAATCGAGCTGCCGCCACTTGCTCCATATCTTGACGTTCCATGGGCACCGAATTGCACCACAGGCCTTTCGGACGGCTACTCCAGACGCCATCTTCATGATCGAGCATCTGTTGCCCCTTCAACTCATTTCAAGCTACGACGCCTGCGATGGCCCGGGACACAACAAGCATTGTTGTGGTGCGCGAACCACGAGCGAAGGCGTCGGTGCCGGTGGCCTGTCCAGGACAGCATACCGCCTCCTAGCCCAACGCCAGCAGCAGTCTCGGAAGCGGACTCAAGGTAGCTGCATCCCTAGAGCTTGGGCGAGGTTTCCCAAATTCATGGTCACGGTCTGGAGTGAGGGCCTTAACTGCATTTTTGTCATCGAGTACTGATGTCAGAAAGATTGCTTCCCTGCTGGGCTGAGCTTTTCTCGACGGTATTCCAGACGAAGGTGGAAGCAATCATGCGACATCTTTCACGTAGGGTTAGCTGTGCGATCAGCTTTGATGTGGACCCCAACCACGGGCATAGACAGAGAGCATCTCGAGCGTCACGTGGCGACAACAGACAATTGGCAATCCAGAAGCGCACGTACACACCGTTCGATATGAGTTCGGCCTTGAACGAGATGGATGCCATGCACGATATGCCGCCCATGCGGCAGTTCAGCATCATCTTAGTTGCAGGACGAGCAGAGGATCTGCTGACACGCCCGGCATGCACATTGTCAGGGATCATCCGGTTCCTCTGCGAGACCCCGGTGCTTTGCGGGGAATCGTGGGGATCTATCACCGCGAACAGAAATCGCATCTCCGCAAAAATGCCCATGGATCGAATCAGGCAATCACCGATCGGGAGAAATCCACTGTCAACGAAGTCCGAATATCGGACTTCCGAATGTTCTGTTCATGAAGAAAGTATGCAATGATGACAAGAGTGATCACGGTGACGAGGCTGCTGGATAACCTAGCATTCAGACTGATGACACTTCACGATGTATCGGGGGTGACTAAATGACAAGCAAAGTCACGCAATGTATTCCCGCACCTAGATATGGTGACTCAGGACAGTGTGCCAAAGATCAAGGAACCCGACCATGGTATGCACGTACGTGGTAAAAGTCACATTGACGCTCTGCTCGCGGTCGCGCTTCAGTGGTACAAGACGATAGTCGTCACACTCCTTTGCTGTACGAAGTACCGCCAGCCTTTGCATCGAAGGCTATACACTCCTGCAACCCGACCACATTGAACATTCTCTTCACACCAGCCTTCAGCTGATCGTCGGAGACGTGCACGCTTCCTTTCTCGTGCAGCTCCTTGTACGCTGCAGTGACGCTCAGCATCACCGCATTCAGTGCCAAGCCAGGATAGATGATGAGTCTATACCCGAGTTTTCTTGCTTCCTCGACAGTCATATCTGGGGTCGCGCCGCCTGGAACGTTATTCAGCAAGCATGGTGTTCCTTCAAACAAGCTGGTGAACTTCTTCGCGTCCTCTTTCGAGGTTACACCTTCGAGAAAAGCAACGTCTGCACCAATTTCAATGCAGGCCTTGAGGCGTTCGACAGCTTCATCGAAGCCAAACGACTGAAGTGCATCGGTTCTAGCGATGATCACAATGTCGCCTCCGGTAGTCGAACGCTCCTCCTCTCGAGCCATTACGGCCGCTCGGATCCTGGAGTAGTACTCTTCCCGACCAACGATCTCCTTGCCGCCCAGATGTCCACAGCGCTTCATGAGTACTTGGTCCTCGATATGCATACCAGCAATCCCTGCACTGATGTAGCCCTTTACAGTTCGTGAAACCATTGGTGGACCGCCGTACCCGGTGTCGGCGTCCGCAATGAGTGGAATTGTGCGATCGAGTGAGGCAATCATGGCGGCATTGGCGAGCATGTCGTTCATCGTCACAAGGCCTAGATCGGGCATCCCCAACTTTGACGCAGCTGTGCCAGCGCCTGTCATGTAGATGCAAGGAAAACCCTGGGCAATGGCGATACGCGCGGTCAACCCGTCGTAGACACCTGGACATGCTGTGATCTGGTCGGGGCGTGAAAGCATGGCCCGGAGCCTTGACGCGGCGGACATCGGTCGAGACATTTGGTCATGGCTGACCGAGCTGCCGTTAGTATGAGAGCCGTTCATTGCGCCGTTTCCCTCTTGAGTCGATGCGATCACAATCTACTGCGTGCATATGAATGCGTTCAGGGAGAAGACCGTCTACGCTGCAAAAGGCGCGCCGCTAGGTTGATAGTACGCAGCACTGCATGTCCGACCACCTGGGGAATATATTCGTTGAGGTTCTTGGTGGTTTGTGATGACACACCTTGAACGACGCTCCGATTCGGATGCTTTGACAAGGCCCATTCATAATCGCACTCCCCACGATCCCGATGCCGCCTCATCCATCCCCGCGCAATGATGTCTGACGCTGACTGGACTACACTGATCACTGAGGATGCCGAGGCGTGACGCCATTCACTGCCTGATCGTGGACTCCGAATTGCGGTCCGAGGCCGATAAGCCAATCCTTGTCCTGTAAACATCGCTGACCTTTCTCCTCTCACTTCACGCTTTCCACTCGCTGGAAGCACAACGTACCCCAAATCCGATCGGGCTGGGGATAACCAGTATCGGACATCTGCCGATGGATAGAATGTATAGCCCTTTGGCGTCACGAGGGTATCGCACAGTAATGGCACGCGACATCGCTTGTGAAGTCCGGCAACGGCCACCCACCTCAACATCATCGCATCCTTCAACAACATAAGCCTCTGTATAGATTCTGTGTCACGGCTTTGCTGGCTGATGATTTGTATCGAGATTCAAGTGCTTCGATAAAGGGTCTCGACATCAGCCAGTACATAACACCTTATACCAGCACAGAGCAGACTTCACCACCAGATTAGACATGCCGGGTATCATTGAGTTGCCCTCCAAGGCAGTAGTCGCATCATCGCCTGCTGAATTCATTGATGCGCTCGATTCGACTTTCCAAGCCACCCGTGGATTGTCGTTACCCAAAGATGTCACATCTTCTACAGAGAGCACTATCCCAGCCATTCTTGAGCAGCTGTGCCAGTCGCTGCAGGCATCATCGCCAGCAGACGCCGAGGCCATCAAGCTCGCGCTCGAAAAGATCACGGACTCGCCTCAGCATGGCGGCCTGGGGATCGGTGCAACGACGAAGCCCACTCCTGATGACTACGAGGATACATTGTTTCTGGTATCCGCCTATCTTACAGCACTAAACAATTCGCAGCAGACATTTCAGGCTACCATTCCCGAACGAAAGGCTGCCACTCAACCCATGACATTGACACAGAAGATCTTTGCAGCGCATTCGCTGTCTCCATTGCCTGAGACAGGACTACATACCGGAGCTGTCATCCGTGCAGGTCTCGACTGGATTCTGGCATCAGAACTATCATGGTCCGCGATGGCACGAACGCATGAATCACTCGGGAACCCTGGAATATGGCGTAACGATCGTTTCTGGCTCGCGGGCGACCACGTCGTACACCCTGATGTTCGAGGCGTCGCGAAGGTCGAGCGTATGGTTGACCTCGCGGAGAAGGCGAAGAAGATGTTCCGGATGACGGACTTCCAGGGCATGAACTACACCATCATGCACACAGAGTTTGTCCGAGAGCGTGCTGAGCCAGGTATGCTCTGCGTTGGAAGCGACAGCCACACCTGCTCCGGTGGCGCAATTGGATGTCTATCGATCGGTCTGGGCGCGGCAGATGTCATGATGGCACTGGCCCTTGGTCAGACGTGGTTCAAGATTCCCGAGACAATCCGTATCGACTTCACAGGCAAGCCCAGTCGAGGCGTGTCTGGAAAGGACGTGATCCTACACATTTTGCGGGAGTTGAAGCGCAATACGGTTGCAGCAGAACGCATCGTCGAGTTCACAGGCGAGGGCTGCCAGTATCTCAGCATCGACGCGAGGTTTGCGATCTGCAACATGTGCACCGAGTTTGGCGCCGTCACTGGTCTATTCGTGCCAGATGAAGTCACAAAGTCGTATGTCGCGCGGAGAAGGAGGAAAGCCAACAAGCAGAACAGTGTCTATTTCAAGCCGGACGATGGTGCGCAGTATGCCAGCGAGCACACGATCGATCTGGCAAAGTCGAGCCTACGATCGCTGTCTACCCGGAGCCAGACCACGTCGTTCCTGTCAGTGAGAAGGCCGGCATGAAGGTCGATGGCGTCTTCATTGGCGCCTGCACGACCACTGAAGAAGAATTGGTACTGGCTGGTATGTTACTGAAAGTTGGATTAGCCAAGAAGCTGCCGTTGGCGAAAGGAAAGAGGCATTACGTGCCTGGCAGTCTGCCAATCGTTGAGAGGCTGAACGAGCTCGGCTTGTTGAAGGTCTACGAGGAGGCCGGTTTCACCAGGGGGCCACCGGGCTGCTCGTACTGCGTGGGTATGAGCGCGGAAAAAGCCGAGAAGGGCGAGACGTGGTTGAGCTCGCAGAACCGTAACTTCCAGAATCGAATGGGTCCTGGTAAGCTATTCTTCAGCGGCCTCGTGTGCATTACGATCACTAACAGCAGATAGGCGCATTCGGCAACCTCTCCTCGGCGGTAGTCTGTGCTGCCTCAGCGTTCTCCTTGGAGATCACTGATCCAGCTCCTTTCCTGGCTGAAATGGACTTTGAGTGGTTTGATACGGTATACAGAAAGTCTTCAACCACTTCGGCCTCACCGGCACAAGGCCTGACATACGTCGAGCCCGACCTTTCAGCCCCGGCGACCAGGTCCAGCACGTCCACGACCGATGGCCTCTCCAAGACCACAACAGTGCCCGAGCCTATGCAGACACTTAAGTCTACGATCATAACCCTAGGCGACCTCATCGACACGGACGCACTAGCGCCCGGCTACGCCCTGACCACTTGTACAACCGAGGCAGAGTTCGGCAGCCACTGTCTCGAACAAACGCACCCGGAGTTTCGTGACACAGTCAAGTCATATCCTGGCAGCAATGCCGTTGTTGTCGCCGGAAATGCGTTCGGCGTGGGCTCCTCACGCGAGGACGCGGTCGTGGCGCTGAAGGGAGCAGGCGTGAAATGTGTGATTGCGAAGAGCTTCGCATTCATTCTCGGTCGGAATATGCCTAGTTTGGGTCTGCTAGGCTTTGTGATGTCTGACGAGTCGTTCTACGAAGCTGCGAAAGACGGGCGGAGTATTGAAATCGATATTCAATCACGAACGGTAAGGGTCGAGATCAGCGAAGGAGAGTGGAAGGAGTGGCCATTCGAGCTGAGTGAGATGGAGTACCAGTTGACGCTGAACAAAGGTGTCATTGAAAGTTTCAAGAGATTTGGCAAGGGGGTCTGGGAAGGGTTGATGGGCGCGGAGAAGCAGAGCAAGGGAACGGGGAAGACGGAGCAGGATACGTTGAACGAGGCTGATATGCTGAAGGGTGTTGATGGGAAGGGAGGCGATGAGAAGCTGGCATGGTGAGCCAAGCAAAATGTCGAGCATGCCGGTATGGATGCAATCTGTCAATATTGACTGTACTCAGTGTTGTAGATCCGAAGCGGCTGTCGTGTCAGTAGACTTTGACATCAGTGGCAAGACATTGGTGACATCATCACTTTGCGGTTCCTTATACCTCATTGCTTTTCGGACATACTCTCATGTTTACGCTGGCTCTCGGAATACAGCAGCAACGTAGACAATAGACGCGATTGCGGCCAGAATAGCTATGCCACCAAAACGAGTGACCCGGCGGAGGGCCGCTCAGAGAAATGCCGAGGAAAAGCCGACGCGCGAGCAGCAGCACAGCGAGGAGGACGAGGAGCCACAGAACGGAGATGAGACCAACGGGGATGACAGCAACGCACCTGAGCCAGGCGACAAGCGAAAAGCAGAGGATATTGAAGGTGATGCGGATGATCAAGAGGCAGCTTCTGAAGGCGCTGAAGATGCCGAGCCCGAAGCCAAGAAACCGAAAACAGAACCAGCACCCAGCAACAAGAACGGCAACTCTGCATCGTCCAGTCAGCCACGCGCGTTGAAGTGGCTGCTGTCCCAAGAAGCATTCGACCTCGCCTTTCCAGCTTTTCCCGAAGGTCACGGTGAGATCGACTGGGACGACGAGAAACGTCGAAAAGAGCCACCTGCGGAGGATGCCGGCCATCAAGCAACCAAAGACCAGAAGCTCCTGACATACCCTGACTCATCCCTCACGCCATTCCAGAATCTCGTCTGCGCACTCATCCTCAGCAAACCGCTTTCCCACAGATTGGGCACGCGAACAATCAACACATTGCTGAACCCACCATTTGGATTGAGAACAGTCGACGATTTGGACGAAGCAGGCTTCGAGGGCAGGAGAAAGGTGATGTGGGAAGCACGTACGCAGCACAAGGAGAAGACGGCGACGCAACTAGGAGATCTTGTTGAAGGTGTCAGAGCGATCTGCGGAGATGACGACCTCGAGAATCTGGAAGGGTTGCGCAAGCAATTGAAGGGTCTGGATGTCAAGGCCGCACAGGACAAAGTGCAGGAGGTCCTGACAGACGGGATCAAAGGAGTGGGTCCGACGGGAGTGGGCATCTTCTTGAGGCGGGTGCAAGGCCAGTGGGAGGAAGTGTTTCCCTATGTTGATGATAGAGCGCTGGCTGCGGCGAGGGAATTTGGACTCGTGGACGGAAATGGGAAGTTGGGCTCGGCTCGTGATCTGGCCAAGTTGCTGAACGATGATCAGGCAGAGTTTGTGAAGCTGCTGGATGTGCTCATTGGCATACAGCTTGAGAAGAAGATGGACGAGGCGTTGAAAACTGCTGGTGTGAAGACTTAAGACAAAAAGTTCTGCGATTGTCAGGGAGAGAATGCTGACGTAAACAAACTCTGGTGTTTGAGCTCCGCAGCCTGCCGACGCATCCAAAGGTTGTGCCAGTCCCTGACGGTGGCCATGTCTTCTGCTCACAAGCCTAGCCACCAGCTGGTCTCCTCGATTGTAAACGAGCCAGCGACTGTCAAGTGCTCCTCGCGGCTGCTGCTTCCAACGAGCACTTCGTATTCGCCCTTTTCTCGCATCCACCGCTCTTCTGCCTCGTCCCATAGACTGGCCGCATACTTGTCGATGGCGACCTCGATCTTGGTCGCCTTGCCTGCTTGTACAGTCACTTTCGAAAAGCCATGCAATTCCCGTTTCGGTCGCCGTATCAGACTGGTCTTAGCATGGACATACACCTGAACGGTCTCGGTCCCGTCAATTTTGCCGGTATTCTTGACTTCAACGCTGACCTTGTCTCCCGTTTCAGAGACTGCCAAAGGCTTGATCTCGAACGTTGTGTAAGACAGCCCATGTCCGAATGCGAACATAGGAGGACGTTCCATCTCATCGTAGAACTTGTATCCCACAAATACGTCTTCACCATACATGACCCGTCCTTGTGTGCTTCCCCAATTGAGGTAAGCCGGGTTCTCTTTCTCTGTTGCTGGCCAGCTCAACGGCAATCGTGCACTAGGATTGACGTCACCGAAGAGAACGTCTGCTATGCCGTGTCCAGCCTCGTTTCCTCCGTACCATGCGTGAACAATAGTCTGTGCGTCCTTCTGCCATGGCATAGCGAATGGTGTTCCGGCTTGCGTCACAATGACAGTGTTGGGCTGCGCCGCAAGTACGCGAGTGATGAGCTCGTCGATTCGTGGCGGAAGGTTGTACATAAGTCGATCGGTTCCCTCACACTCCCATTCGGCATTCAGGCCGGTGCACAGGATGGCATAGTCCGCGTTTTGGGCCAACTTGCAGGCGCGATCTATTGACACGGCTGAATCAACGCGTCGAGCAGCCCCAAGCTGGAAACCGCCACCCCCAAAAGTGGTCACGCCAATCTGTGGAGATGTGCTGGTGGCTGAGCTGCCGAATTCAATTCGAAGCTTGTACTCCTTGCCTTCTTGCAGCTCCTTTGAGCCGATCTTCTCCGGTGTGCCTTTGCCGAAGAACGCGCCGCCGGCTTTCTGCTTCTCGGTCGTTTCGTCGATGATAAGCTCATCGTCGAGGTATACATTGGCTGTGCCATACACGGACAGTCCGAAGTCCCAAGTTCCGGATTCATCAGGCGTGAAGATCGCCTCTGCCGTGATGTAGAAGAGTTCGAAATTCAAGTCCGGATGCTTGTAGTCCATGAGCTGGCAATACGCTCGCTGGAAATGCTCCTCGACCACGAGTTTGCGATCGGTGGTTCCAGGAGGGGAATTGTAGAAGGACATGATCCCACCCTGCGCAGAACGATCCGGACGCTGGATGAGCTTGCTGAGCTGCGGAAGCATGCGATAGGCAGGTACGCCCACTTCGTGGGCAATCTCAGTGCCGCTGGCAGAGTAGCGCTCAGACAGGGCTTCGGAAAGCGTGACGGTGTAGTACGGATTTAGTACAGCACTGCCGCCTCCAGTAATAACAGGCAGGCGCATGTGCGAACCGATGAGGGCCACTTTCTTGGCCTTTTTCGGCAGAGGCAGAAGATTGATGTCATTCTTGAGGACGACGATACTTTTGCCGGCAATTTCGCGATTCAGAGCACGATCCTCTGGCAGGTCGCGCGGCCCCTCTTTCATTTCGACTTTTGCAGCTCGTTTGACGAACTGAAGCACTCTTCGGGCTCGTTGGTCCAGAACAGACTGCTTAATCAGGCGTGAGCTTTGAACGAAGTCGCCCAAGCGTCCTCGCATTTTCGGTCCGCCCGGCATTTCTAGATCCATGCCAGCATTCACTGCCTCCGTGGTCGAGTACGTGCCGTGCCAATCGCTCATGACCAGCGGATCCCAGCCCCATTCTTCGCGCACAATGCCGTTGATCATGCGGGGATCGTGGGCAACGTGAAGCCCGTTGATTTTGTTGTACGATGTCATCAAGACACCGGGCGCAGCATCACGAGCCAAGATCTGAAAGGGACGGAGGTAGACTTCTCGTAATGCTCGTTCTGGAATGATTGTGTTGACAGCTCGTCGCTCGTGTTCCTGATCGTTACAGACGAAATGTTTCGGAGTCGCTTGGACACCAGTGCTTTCAACACCTTTCACGATGTTGACTGCCAGGGTTCCTGACAGGTGGGGATCTTCGGAGTAGCTCTCAAATCCACGTCCTCCCATTGGTGACCGTTGGATGTTGATCGTAGGTCCTAACCAGCAGTGAGCTCCTTTCGAGATACACTCCTGTCCGAGAAGCTCGCCAGCTCTGTAAAGTAGCTCCTTGTCCCAGGTCGCGCCAAGGGCAGTACCACATGGTATACATGCTGCTGAGACGCCTCCAAAGAAGCGCGTGCCTCTGATGCCGTTTGGCCCATCGCTACATCTCACGCGTGGCACGTTGAAGCGTTCGAGCTCCGCCGTGTGCCAGAAGTCAGCCCCTACGATACTGTCAGCAGGTCCAGCGTTTGTCAGCTGTATGCCTTGCCTGAGAGCAACGACCACTTCTCCACGTTAGTGGCATTCTTCACAACTTCCTCGACATCGAATGTCATATCGGCTCACACATTGGCTTAGAACGCCACAAGCAGTCGACAGCAATGACGTGCCGCCTACAACTGGTCCCGAGTGAAGCGCGTTTAGAGTCCTTAATACCGGTGACGCGCAGAGGTCCAAGCTGACAATGACGGTCGAAGCAGAAGGACAGACATCTCATGGGGGCACATTGCTGAACCATAGTGAGTTGAGAAGGGCGACAGACGCCCTCTCCGCCGCGCCCGCCGGCATCGCTTTGCCCATGCTGACTGGCTACGAGGCCTAAGGGAAAGGAGCCAGTTTCACCGCTCCAGGTTAAAAGCCGGGTGTTTCTCCTAACTCTCTTTTGCCGGCTTGGCGCAAGTGCGGGATACGGTGCCGCACGAAGACCAGTAGCTCCCATTTCAAAATTGCTACGCAACAACTAAGCGCCTCACGACTCGCGCCGGGCAGATGTTCGAAGCTTCATATGCGCTTGCAGCATTCGCTTCTGCAGCTGATGTATCTGACGGCTGGCGTGACCAGGACTTAGACTTCAGCTCTGCGGTTGCCCGAGATGGGGAAGGCAGACCGGCGTAGAGGCCGAACTTTCTCGAGGTCCGTCCTGCGCTTCCACTTCCTGTCTGAGGATCGCTATCAACCAGCAATCCTCATCTGGACCCGGAAGTCTCTCGTGTCCGGGTGGATGACGACTACCGCCGGGGTGCAGCCTTCCAGAGTGCGAGCTTCGTGACAGGACGCTCCCATTCTTTATACTTCAAAGGTGACCTCGAGGTTAAAGAAGGCCCCTTTGATACTCTGCATGGTGTTTCTAACAGACTAGACTCCATCGAAGATCAACGGACGCTGATGTGACGCAGTGCTGATTGCAGAGCCTGGTCGACCCCAGTGTTATGTCTCGCAATCTGGGTCTCCGCTTGACGCTGCGCTGCCGCTTGTTGGTCCCTAGCTAAGGACAGGCTCGAAGAGCTTGGTGGGGATGTGTCTAGACAGTGTTCGGCTGACCTTGTGTGAATTTTAGAATGCTTTGCGGTTGAATTTAGGGACTGGACGCTCGTACATCTGAGCAAGATCTTTTGGTACAAGGTATCTACAATGAAGCTCTGGACGTCGACGTGGAAGGCTCAGCAGGAAGTCGAGGAGCACCTGGGTTACGCTTTCAGACCAATGAGTGCGATCCGTGCCCCGAGGGGTTCTTCCTCGCAACCACCCGAGCAGCAGCACAAGCAAAGAAATCTGGAATTCTATCTTGGTGATGATCTGGACTTCCCTAGGATTTGCAGTATGGTAGAACAAGGACTGAGTGTTCTCTGCTGGTTGGACAAGTCATCAGTCTGACTGTTCACCTGCAGTAGTCATTTCAGGATCCCAACAGATTCTTGCTCGGCTTCAGAGGGGATCGTCTCCTTCGGAGCTTACTACAAACGTGTCGAAGCTTGTCAAACGACAATGGACGAGGCGGATTGCGTGGGCCTGCACTCGCTTGTGTTTGATATCGATTCTGCTTGGGCAAATTAGGCTACCAGGTGAATTAGGTACAGTGAGTGACTTATAAGGACGCAGCTTCCTTTCTGTGTCTCGATGCAACGTCACTCAATTATATATGTCACCAGTTGCCTGGCTCTTCACGTGCGCCATTCACTAGACAACAATAGCTTCTAGCACAGGAACGGAGACATGGACTATCTACGCGATAGCTCAAGCTGCACTTTGCTGTGCACTTCGCGAGGACATTGTGGGATCTTGGCTGCAATGCGTTATCACTACAGGCGCTGGTCTAGTGTTATCATCATTCTAGTCACCGTCCTAGCGCTACTATCACTTTGATCACTGTTCCGACGTCACTACTGCTCCAATCGCTGCTCTAGTGTCGATTTGAAGCAAAGATGACCAACAAAGCGTTCTCGCACAATGGCGTCGATATCCACATCGCAGCGCACCTAAGTGACTTAACAGAAGGCCTCGAATGGTGCACCAATACGCAAGGGTCCCTCACACATCACGATAATGTCCTCGAAGGCATCAGAATTGGTTCCAGCGAATCCTCCGCAGACATCATCAACGGACACAACGTCTGCACATTCCTTTGTCGAGACAAGCAGGGCGACGGCCACAAAGCAAACACCTCAGACACGTTCACATCATGGTTGAAGATGAGTCTCGACGCGATGAGAGACAGAGAGCGCGTCGGTGTCGTTGTAGAAGGAAAGCATCGATCGCTCGTCGCAGCTGGCATCATCCTTCCGGAACCGGAGCAATTCGCTGTCGCTGGCGCGTTTGTGGTCACAGATGTGTGGTTTGACTGGGTTGTGAGCGAACAAGGCCAGTCAGCCGACAGAGTGCTCATGGCACGGCTGGAACTATGCGATGGACAGGGTATCTGGTGGAATAGTAGCACGGCCGCCGCCTCAAGTCAGGAAATTGGAACAAGCACAGAGTTCTGCAGTTCCTGCGAACGACCCCTCGCGCGCCGATACAAGGAGGGCGATGTATTCTGCGGCCATCCAGAATGTCCAACACGCTTAGACCCCGCCCAAAGCACAGGCCTATCGATCAAGACGCGCGACTATGCTCCGGAGTACCTCGCGCGTCGAACACCGCTCCCAGCTCAGTACTCGCGCTCCTTCAACCTCGTTCCTCCTGCGCCTGCTGCCCCGACTGTCGATCAGCTCAAAGCATGGTTCGCCGACAAGGACAACAATCATCCGGGCTGGAAGTCCTGGAATTGCAGCAATTGCAAGCGTTTCAACTGCCGTATGGAATAGAATCGCGTTGTTTGCCGAAACTGCAACCAGACCACGCTGTGCCCGCTCCCAAACATGACTCTGGAGGACCTCGTCGAATCAAAGTGGCTAAATATTACCTCCGCTAACGATCTCCTTGCCGCAACAAGTCGACGAGACAAGCGGGTCGTCGCCATCAAAGACGCATCTCTAGGTCTCAGCGTCCTCCCCATCCCCGCAATTGCGGATTCGACTGCGAATCGTTATGTTGGTGTTCGCATCAATCTTTCAGCCGAGGACACGATCTTCGTTCTTGCTCCCACAAACTACGAGATCTACCGCAAAGGCGGAACTCGAGACATCTTCAACGCAATGTGGGCTGAAGTACAGTCTGGCTCGATCCCGCTCACCCGCAAGCCCGCGAAGCAAGACAGAAAGAAGAAAATAGGCCTGAAGACAGCGCAATTCAACGCCACGTATGGCGTCCCCTACAGCATCGCTCGCGCCGCTTACGCGTCTGGAGAGGCAATCGAACTCGAAACCGCGCCTCAGGTCCTCGAAGATCTGATTGCCAACTTCGTTCCCGTCGTAGAGGCCGCCACAGGCCAGAAGACGAGCTTCAACAGCAACCTGCTGCTCGGATACTACCCCAAGATGCACATGGGCTATCATCAAGACAACGAGCCGCACATCAAGGGCAATATCATCGCCAGCGTGAGCTTGGGCGCGTCTGCGATCATGAGCTTCGCGGAGCCGAAGGAGCATGCGAGCGATAGGAGCTCGAAAGCGGCGTTTTCATACCCGCTGGCTGGAACGGGAGGAGGTATGATCCAGATGGGACCGGGAGTCAATGTTGATTGGTGGCATAAGAGCGAGTGTGTCGGTCTGGCGAGGTTCGTGGACACACTGAGGGGATTGGACGAGAGCATGGTAGAGGGCGGCGGAGAGAGGGAGGAGGGAGCGACCGAAGAAGAGGCAAAGTCAGGCAACGAGGCAGAGTAGGCGGCGAGGAAGGCGTCGATAGCGAATAACGTTCTTGATGAGGCAAAGCTTACCTTGAGCTCGACATCGCATTGCTTCTGTCTTGCTTATGGCTGAGATGCAACTCGATGAGGTCTTGCCTGGAGCTGTGGTGAGCTTAGTGGTTGGCTCAGAACCTTCGGGCGTGCTCTGAGCAGATTCTGGCCGAGAAGTGTACCGGCCCGGCGCGCAGACAAGGTTTGTGGGGTATGTTATCAGGCCTTCTGCCATCTTCCGCGGTTGCGGCACAAACGAAGCCGCACTTCCAAGCCCCCATGAACTATTCCGCTTTCGTCACCCACAGTAGTCTACAGCGACGATGACCCAGAGGCGATCCTGCTTCAGCGTAATAGGTAGTCGGACGGCAAATACAGCGTTGAGATTGAGCAGAACAGCATTCTGACAGCAATCGCGTTACTCTCTTCAACCAGCATAATATCTACCAGCGAAAAGCCGCTACCCAGGCAGCTCTTTCCATCAGCAAAGGGAACAATGGACCTGACTGAGCCGAAAGGGCTCTTTTTCGACGTCTACGCGACTCTTATCGACTGGGAGGCTGGCATCTACCCACGACTGCTTGCGCTCTCGCAGCAACCCGACTCGCCGGATCTCAGAGGACAACTTCTGCGTGCCTACCACACCCATCAAATTGACATCTGGAGGGAGTCGCCGACACTGCTGTATCCTCAAGTCTTGGAGGAGACGTACGCCCGGATAGCCAAAGAAAGAAACATCTCCTTCGACCAAGCTGATGCCGTCACCTTTGGCGGCACAATCGGCGAATGGCCAGCATTTCCAGACACAGTCGATGCATTGGGACGGCTAGCCAAGCACTACAAGCTCTTTGTACTCAGCAACGTTGACAACGCATCGTTCGAGCGGACGCGCACAGGACCCCTCCAGTCAGCGCATTGGGATGGTGTCTACACCGCGGAGGACATCGGCTCCTACAAGCCAGATCCGAAGAACTATCAGTACGTCGTCGATGCTGCCGGCGAGAAGTTCGGGATCAGCAAGGAACACTTGGTACTGGTTGCGCAGAGCCTCGATATTGATCACATGTCTGTCAAGAAGTTAGGCTTTCGTCCAGGGATCTGGATTTCCCGCAGTGGTAGTGCGATGGGCGGCAAACGCGAGGAGATGGAGGGTAAGGGAGAGATAGAGCTTGGAGCCGCATTCGAGACGTTGGGTGATTTTGCTGATGCTGCTGATAAGGCCTTCGCAGCACAACGCAAATGAACTGTAAGGAAACGAACCAGCATGAGGCCGCTCTTGTTCATCCGGGGTAATTGAACGACGGACCCAGACGCAGGCCAATGCCGGAACAATTAAGAGTGAGTGAGAAAAGTGGCTGCATACTGGTCACTTCTGGCCCTGCTAGATTGTCAGCGGTGCACTGCAAGGCGACATGAGAGCTGGTGGCATCACAGGTTTGCGTTGCGGTGCAATGCTGGTGGACTCAAACGAGCCGTCACACTCGCTCATTCCGAGGGTGCCTTACGCCTCGAAGGACCCCTTGACATGCTGCCTTCTGGGCGGCCAATGGAGATAGAGGCACCTTGATTGCAACAGCACCACATACACACTGGCTCTTCGAATGTGACGATCGCGGCTATTCAGTGTCGCGTGCAGCTCCCTTTCCAGAACGTGCGAGGCGGATATTGTACGTAAGGCGGGCAAAATGCTCCTGCCGTGAATGCCGAGGCCAAGAAGGCTTAACAACTGCTTGCTAGAACTGGTGGGATCTGCATTCGTTCCCATGTCTAGCATTATTATTATTCACCCGCTATGCATCTTCACCTCATTGAGGGCACCATGCTCTTGCCCGAAGCGGTTGCTGACCCGTCGATACCCGGATATCTGGCTGCAATAAGCAGTATCAATCCAGTACCTCAAGATCTCGCCCCGCGGTGCGATCTACAGGGAAATGGCGTCCGTCTTCCACGGGCCTTCCACGTTGATTCCAGAATCGTGTTGCTGATCGATTGAACCGAGCACCAGGACCCATCCGTCAGCTCCACAAGGGACATGAAGCAGCAGCAAAAAACCCGGTCGTGCCGCTAGTGCCACCTGAAGCAAAAACATCGCAGAAAGTCAGCAACGGCGTCAGGTTCAGCAGGTCTCCCAGCACAGGTGCTAATTAGTTGTTTGCCATGTTGATAGCGATTTACAGCATATCTTCCATCTTACTGGCGATTCCATGTGGGTAGTCGTGTGAGACTCGTATCGGCGGGATCCCACAAAAGCTCTTGATGTCATTCACCAGGAGCCTCCGTACCTGACGTCCGACTGGCGCGCTGTCAGCCGACTTTGTTGCGAAATAGCAATGTGGCGATTGGGTAAGAGATTTCTCAAGGATCTCAGGCTGTCCCCACGCCAGTGGCGGCGGAACCTTCCCAACCCTCGCACCAATCGACGCCCACGAAATAGGCGAGATACGCCGCCAAGGCCAAATAAGCTCCCTGAAGATCTCTCAAGAGTTTTCTTGTTCGAGCTTGAATTGTTCCACATCGTCATTCCACTCCTGTCAATCGAGGGTGTGCTCGTGCCCGCGGACTCCAGCAGAAATGTAACGACACTATCTCTGCAGGTTCCACGTTTCATCATGGGCCGGCGAACGTGCGGACTCCCGCCCTCGGTGATCGCGAGCTCAGAGGAACCAGGACATATATGTACCAGACGCGTCTACGGCTTGCCGTGGAACAGTGACAAGCACATCCTTCACAATGGCGGAACATGAATCCGATGCTTCACGGTGAGCTTGTTCCTAACACCTCGAGACTCAATCTGATCAGAACAGGCTCCATGCTGATGTTAATGAACAAAGACGTCTCTCTGGAATGACCGAGAAGATCACCGACGAGAAGAACATCAATGCAGTCACCGACAGCGAGAAAGACGACCACGTCGAGACTCCGGTTGGCGGCAAGCCCAGTGACTACGAGAAGTCGACCCTCCGCCATGTCGGAGAGTCTCTCCCGTACTCCATCTTCCTCGTGGCAACCATCGAGCTTTGTGAGCGATTCACCTACTATGGCTGCCAAGGTATCTTCCAAAACTACGTCCAGAAGCCTCTCGATGGTTCGCTCGGCAACGGAGGTCTTGGTCTCGGTCACCAGGGTGCTACTGGCTTGACGACATTCTACTCGTTCTGGTGCTACGTGACACCGCTACTTGGTGGTCTGATTGCTGATCAGTACTTGGGAAAGTACAAGACTATCCTGATGTTTGCTTGCATCTACTTCGTCGGCCTTGTCATCCTGGTTGCTACCTCGGTGCCGAACTCACTCAACCATGGTGCTGGCCTCGGTGGATTCATCACTTCAATCCTCCTGACAGGTCTGGGTACGGGTGGCATCAAAGCCAATGTCGCGCCACTCATCGCCGAGCAGTACACACGCAGAACCATGGAAGTCGCCGTGACCAAGAAAGGTGAACGTGTGGTCATCGATCCGTATGTCACAATCCAGCGCATCTACATGATCTTCTACTGGAGCATCAACATCGGAGCCCTTTCCCTGCTTGCCACGCCTTACATGGAGCGGGATATCGGCTTCTGGAGTGCTTTCACACTTTGTATCTGCATGTTCGCTGTTGGCATCACGATCCTCGTCCTGGGCCGGAAGATGTGTAAGTCCAAGCCTGATCCCTTCCTTTACCAGCACATGCTAATTGCACCCAGATGTCGATCGACCACCTCAAGGCAGCATTGTCACCGATGCCTTTAAAGCCATCTTCTTGATGCTCCGCTACCGCTCGATGGACGCACCCAAGCAGTCCTTCCTCCTGGAGCGTGGCTCAAACAAGACCGTCACCTGGGACGACCTCTTCGTCGAGGAACTAAAGCGTGCTCTCACCGCCTGCAAGGTCTTCACACTCTACCCCATCTACTGGCTCGTCTACAACCAATTCTCCGGCAACTTTGTATCCCAAGCCCTGCAGATGGAAGGCCACGGCATCCCGAACGACCTGATGCAGAACTTTGACCCCATCGCCATCATCGTCTTCGTCCCCATTCTCGATCGTCTCGTCTACCCAGCTCTTCGCAAGGCCCACATCCCATTCAAGCCAATCAGCCGCATCACATGCGGCTTTATCGTCGCCAGTATGGCAATGGTTTATGCCGCCGTGCTGCAGCATTTCATCTACAATGCTGGGCCCTGCTACAAGGCCCCGCTCTGTGACGCCAGCATCAACGCTGACGGAGTGGCACAAGGCAACCACATCCACATCGCCATCCAGACGCCCGCGTACATGCTCATCGGCATCAGCGAGATCTTTGCGTCCGCAACAGGCTACGAGTATGCGTACACCAAGGCGCCTCCGAGGATGAAATCATTCGTGCAGTCCGTCTTCTTGCTCACCAACGCCTTCGGGTCTGCTTTGGGCGAGGCATTCGTGCCGGTCGCGAAGGACCCAGAGATCTTGTGGATGTACACTGGCCTGGCGGTTGGCACATTCATCTGTGGCATCATCATTTGGGTTGTGTTCCATGGCTTGAATGCCAAGGAGGACGAGATGAACTACATCGAGGATGATGTGCTGCCTCATGACGAGAAGAGGAGAGCGAGTCGAGCAAGTCACATCACGGCTTGAGTCAAGCCGGTTCATCAGCCAACCATCATACCTGCAGATGTCACTCCCGCCTAAGTGCGGACGGAGGCCCTGGCTAAGACCGCAGCAATGTAGATAGCACACAAAAGCTGTTTTCAAACATGCAACTTTTTTATTCTCGCTTAGAGCTCCCGAGGCTTTTAGCAGCCACGACTGACCATAACGCATAGCTCACAAGTCCCGCAACTCCCTCCACCGGCTGCCCTCCGTCCTCCCTAATACTTTCGGGTCTCCCATCTCCACAATATTTCCCTTCCCAAGTACTACCACCCGTCCGAAATCCTCAATTGTGTTCAGACGATGCGCGACCGCCAAAATCGTACACCCAGCAAAGTGTTCCCGTATGATCTGCTGCACAAGCTCGTCAGTCTTGACGTCCACGCTCGCGGAGCACTCGTCCAGCACCACAATCTTGGACTGCCGCAAAAGTGCACGTGCTAGGCAGAAAAGCTGGCGTTGCCCGTGCGAGAGGAAGTCGGCGGTCATGGTCGCGTCGAGACCGCCGCGGGCGGCGATGATGGGGTAGATGTGGCAGCGTTTGAGGGCGGAGATGTAGACTGCGTCTCGGTTGGCGTTCGTGGTGGTGCCGGAGATGGTACTCCAGGGATCCATGTTGAAGCGGACTGATTCGGTGGTAATCCACCAGGGTTCTTGTGGAATGACGTTGATGCGTCCGCGGAGGGTTTCGCGGGGTATGGTGGAGACGTCCACGCCGTCGATTGTGATGTTGCCTGTGCGGTACTCGAGGATGTGGAGAAGGGAGGCGAGCGTGGATGATTTGCCGCTGCCGGACCGGCCGCATAGTCCGACTTGCTCGAGTGGCCGACAAGCGATGCTGATATCGTCAAGAACGAGATCCGAGTCCTCGGAGTAGCTGGCGCTGAAGTTATTGAAGCTCACTGCCCCATCCTCAGGCCAGTCTGGTCGCGGGTCGTCACACTCTTCGGGTTTATGTTCCGAAGCTGTGGTCTTGTTGTATTCACGGATACGGCCAACAGCGCCGATAGCGGTCTCCATCTTTGTCCACATCATTACCAAATTGGTGAGTGAATTGCTGAGGCCAAGCGCCGAGAGCAGTCCAACACCGACCATGGCGGGATTGATGGAATCTCTTGTTGCCACCACAACGATCATCAGGACCGTGACGAGGCCAGTGACAATAAGGTCGAGTACGAGAGTGAGCCACCGTTGAATACATAGCAGGAGATAGAACGGTCGCTGACTACGATCGAGTAATTCGGTATGTCTTTCTGAGAACTTCTGCGTCCAACCAAAGGCACGGACTGTGGCCAGGCCAGAAGCCGTTTCTCCGAACTGGGTGTATAGCGGAGCTTTTTCTTCGATGTCAAGGAGCCGCATCTGTCGGCTGGTTCGAAGATAGTACTTTTGGATGATGTACATAACGCCGAGCAGGACTGGGATGGTGATCGCGAAGTAGCCGGACCCCGAGGCTACCATTAGTCCCATACCAGTGACTGCAGCCACAAAGCTTAGCACGAAGTCCGCCCAGGAGAATGGAATCTCCATATCCACAAGGTTGAGGTCCTGACTGAAGCGGTTGGTGATGGAGCCGATGTCGGTCTTGGTGAAGAACGACAACGGAGCATTGAGGGTGGTCTCAAGTAGGTTCCAATGGAAGCTGGTGGAGCTACGCGGCTGCATGACGAGAAGGATCTGCCAGACGACAGCCAGAACTGCGGCTGAAGCCACGACGGTCGTAAGTCCAAAGACGATAATGAATGTCCGTGCGGCCGATCCGCTGACAAGGGCGTTGTTTGAGGAGAAGACTCGGACGAGGATGCCAGGCATTTGAACAGAAATCATCCAGACGAAGCCCCAGATAATGCTTAGAATACTCGACAGATAGCCGCAAGATTTGAACCAGTACTTCCAGGTGACCCAGTCGCCAGTGCGTCTCAGCAGATTGTCTCGGACATCGTCCGCCGTGGGCATTACAGTTGCGACAGGAGCCTTCTTGTCCTTGGCGTCGACATCGGCTTCCTCCTCAGCGTCCTGCTGCTGCTTGAAGTCGACGTTGAGATCGTGGACATAGCCGCCACTTGTTGAAAGCTGAAGCCAATTGCCTGTTTCCGAGATGCGTCCGTCTGCGTCCAATGAGACGATGGTATCAGCATATGGGAGCCGCTGGACTGCATGCGTCACCAAAATGACCGTGGTCTTTTGTCGGCGGAGTGGGCCATTACGTGAAAATAGCCTTCGAAAGATCAGATCTTCGGTATCGTGATCCAGTCCAGAGAAGACGTCATCCAAGATGAGTATATCGGCTCGCGAGTACACCGCTCGAGCCAGAGCTAAGCGAGCCTTCTGGCCACCGCTTAATGATATGCCTTTCGAGCCAACGACAGTCTGATCTCCACGAGGGAGATGCAGAACATCTTCTGCGAGACCACAGCAAGTTATCACTTCGTCATACCAACTGGTATCTGGGACGACAGGACTTGCGCCACATATGTTGTCTTTGATCGTTCCGTTCTGCACCCAGGCCTCTTGATCTGCAAATGAGATGGTGCTGCTGTTGACATACACGAAGCCACGGGAGTACGGAGTTTCGCTCAGGATACCTTTCAGTAGTGTCGACTTGCCAGAGCCAACAGGGCCGATGATCATCATGTGAGAGCCGGAACTCAAAGTGATATTCACATCTTTGACAATTGACTTGTTCTTTTCCCACCCGAAAGAGCAATCCTTGAGAACAACGGCATCATCTGCAGCGCTGCGAGACACGCTCACGCGTCTCATTGGGATGCCATCGGCAATGGCGCTTGTCTGCCAGAAGTCTTCGGAATCGTACACGCTTTCCAGCGATAGTCTGTTGTCGTTCCGCGATTCCGACAACAGGTACTGCTGTATACGCTCGAAGCAGCTCAATGAAGATGCCAAACGTACGGAGGAGTAGATCGTGACGTTCAATGGCATTTCCATTGTCCTGAGAATGGTTAGAACTCCAAACACTGTCGAGATCTCCAGCGGAGAGGAGTCATCATTTGCTGATCGAAGGTAGTAGACCAGGAAAGTCGCAAACGGGGCATATATGCTGGATCCATTTTGAAGCACTACTCTGATGGTATCGACGACACGGAACGCCTTACACATTGCGATCTCGGACAGCCGTAGCGCGTGAGTTCGGTCCTTGACAACTGCTGCGAGGCCCAAGAGCTTTACATTCCGTATCGAGTGCAGCAATGCGGACGTGAATGAGACGCGGACCTGCACAGCATCAAGCCACTTCTTTTGGAATGGTGAGATGACGCGAACCAGACCAGCGGTCCCTGCAAGCTGAATGACGTAGACAATCGCTGGCGCATAGCAGGTCGAGCCAAGATAGAAGTACAGAAGGTACATTGCTACGGCGAGGTCGATGATGCCGCACCAGGTGTCGTGGAACATCGTCAAGATGTCGACCATGGTGTTGATGTCGGTCGACATGAGTGTTAGAACAGCGTCTCGATCGATTGCCGTCAAGCTGAGATTTAATGTCTTGTCGTAAAGCAACGAAACCAGTCCACCTCGAAGCTGTGTACAACAACGGTTTGCGAGATGTTTGTAGGCGGCCGAGAGCACTGCGACTGCGAAGTACGACAGAAAGAAAGCTCCAGCAAGTCCCCAACCGTGGGAGACTGGCTGCTCGCTCTGGTTGCTCACGTAGCGAATGGTGGCCTGCACAAGGAATGGCTGCGAGAATTGAGCCGCTGACAGGAAAAGTCGAGGTATGGCCGAGAAAATTAACTCCCACCTCAAGACGCTGAGGGCAGTGCCCATGAGGCTCCTCGGACCATGAGATCGTTTTGCCTGCCAATGGGTCTTGAAGCGCTGGTGTACCTTTTCGGACTGTAGCGCTTCGTCCAAGGTGTAGAGATCGTCCGTTCGCAGCGTAGTGTCAAATCCAAGCATCAGTAGCGGGTTCACCCACCAGAACACGGATTTGCTGTAGATACCACTTGTCTGCTCGGGTGGCAGACTCTGATAAGGCTCCAGCAGGATGGCTCGTTTCTCGGTTGCTTCCGTTACCAGAACGCCGAATTTGGCAATCAGTGAAAGTGTGAGAAGGTGAGCAACTCCGTTGGCACCATATCCGCCGATCAGGTAGAACGTACGGAGCCGTATCGCATCGAAAGTGATCGAGAAGAGGAGGTACAGGCCGATAATTGTCGATGGCGTGACTGATCTTGAGTGCTCGAATAGGGAAAGAACGAACAAGACGCAAGCTGCTGCGAAGTCAAGCGAAGCCGCTGCCACCGATGCTGGTGTGGCAATCTGTAGGTTGGTTGCGCGAATGAGCAAGACCGTCAGTTGGCTCATAGCGAAAGCGGAGAGCAAGACCTGCGGAAGTCAGCGTGGCTTCGACTGGATTTGATGTCTCGCTAACCAGCTTCGCCGACCGGCTCAAGGACGTGACGACCTTGTTGGGACTGTTGACCAGCCATACTGCACGTGCTATCGCAGCTGCCAAAAACAATGTGGACGGTATGATGGTCAACACGGTGTCCTCGAAGAGCAGGGTGAAGTCGAAACTTCTGCTTGGACCTGTGTAGGCTGGGCCGAATAAGGCATCTGAACTGTTCGAGATTGTCGACATTGTTATGAGCCGCAGCGATAGACTTGGGAATGATCTCGTCCAGATAACATCAGGTTTCGCGGTTGCCTGTCACAAGCTGCACTCCTCGATAAGATGTTGGCAAGTTCCAGGAGTGTCCTAGCTACCGTGCCTGCAGGTTGTGGAATTGCAGCCTAAGATCCCGTTGGCCATCTCGAGGTGGGGAGGTCTTTGGGATACTCCAAGATTGAGCTTCGATCCCGCCACGCGGCTCGGGTTCCCGCAAAAGTACAGGTGCCTGGGCGCCGGCATAGCGTTGCAGCTAAGTGTGGTGATCATTGCGCAATACAGAGCCAGAGAATGTGCAATTGTGTCATGAAGAAGAAAGAGTTCTGCTAAGAAATGGAAGTTGACAGGCACCGAGGAAGCACACCAATCGGAGTCGCGCCCCAGACGCGGGGCGCCTGAACGCGTCTTCTTGAGTTCGGCCCGACTGCCTCGCCTGCCGTCGTCCAAAGCATAGGAAAAGCGACTGGCTGGGTGGGAGGCAGGCGTACGTCGACGGAGGGACGACTCGAACACATTTACGCCTTGGAAAATGAGGCGTTACTGCGAGTCCTCGAAGGAGCAAAGAGCTTCACCTGGCGCCAAGGGCTGTCCAAGACTGGCATCCTTGGCAGCGGTGTGCTGACTGGACATCTGACTCCTTATAGCATACTCGCACACCTCCTCTCATGTTGTTGATGCACAAAACTGCGCCGAATGGCAGCCGGCATTCTTGGTGACTGGGGTGCTACTGCGAGTATGCACAGCCGTGTGCAACACAGGTATGGATGACTCAGCATCACTGAGCTCCGACTTGACGTCACAGCCAGCAGCTGAACTCGACGAAGTACGCTGCGAAGTGGGCTTTCTGGCCACAGGTAAGTGTTAGCTGACTGCTTTGAACCCACACAGTGTATCTCCTTTGCCTAGATATCGTGCCAAGGTCACTGAGCGGCCTTTCGTTGCGCCAATCTTTCAGAGCTGGATTGCTCGGCGACAGTGACTGTCTATTGTTGCGCCGCATATCACCCTATCACCTGCCACACACCACTTATCGCAGCACTGGTCAAAGATGGCGGACGACGGACTTACCAGAACTGCCGCTTTGTCGCAGGCCGCCGTGCCGACCGAAGCTGCCCAGCCCGCGGTCGATGCCATGCATGACGGCGCCCTGGAGGACACTCACAAAGCGCTCGACGACGTCACGAGTGCGGCGGCAGACCATGAACAGACTCCGCAAGAGCATCTTCACAAGCCAGCTGACCACAAAGCCTCTACTTCCTGGATCTGTCGCTTTCTACCATCGACAGAGTATGTGAGATCCATGGAGAGTTCGTACCATTTGGGCAACTGGGTTCGCGATCGCCACACCAACGAGAAGTCCTGGGAAGCCATGAGCATCTACGTCCGACTTGGAATGCATCTGCTGTACTATGGCACGTACCAAGAGTCCCTGTTGGCGACGAAGCGTGTGATCAACATGCTGACTGCGCAAACGGTGAAGATGGGCGCGCAATACGATGATCCCGCATCGAAAGCACATATCGTGCCTTTCATCCAGAGCTTCGGACTGCAGGATAGCCTACACGAACTGCTGGAGCCGGACCCGAAAAAGTATGAGACGTTCAATCATTTCTTTGGCAGGCGACTCAAAGATGAAGCTCGCCCGATTGCAGAACCGGAGAACGAACATGTAACGAGCAGTCCTGCTGATTGTCGACTGACTGCCTTTCCCGACATTACGACTGCCACCGAGTTCTGGGTGAAAGGTGCCGACTTCACGATGGAAAGGCTGTTCCAGGATGCCCAGCTGGCTGAGAGATTTGACGGTGGCAGTATGGTGATTGCGCGGCTGGCACCGCAGGACTATCATCGATGGCACAGTCCAATTGATGGGACGGTAGTCAGCGTCAAGGACATCCCAGGCGCATATTACACTGTCAATCCACAGGCCATCAACGAGCCGGGCATACTCAACGTGTACTGCCAGAATCGCAGAAGCGTCATGCTTGTGGAGCGGAGTCCGGATAAGGTGCCCGTGGCCATCGTCGCCGTTGGAGCAATGCTTGTTGGCAGTATCAAGTACTTCGATGGATGCGAACAGCCAGGTGCCGTCATCAAGAGGGGTCAGTGCTTGGGTGGTTTCTTCTACGGTGGTAGCACAGTTCTGGTCTTCTATCCTCGACGAGGTGTTGTTCTCGACAATGATCTCGTGCGATGGTCAACTGATCCTCATGGTCCGTGCGAGACATATGTGCAGGTCGGGTGGCGGATAGGGACGTCGAGGAAGACACATTGATCTGCGCGCAGGCATCACTGGAAGCAAGGACGTTGGCGGGCCGCTTATGTACGACCGAACGAGCTGAACAGCAGCAGCTCGTCCTCGTACGAGATGGGATAGCCTTTGAGGAGAGCTGCCGCCTTATGTCACGACTGGAGGCCTGAAGTCCAGCACCGATTCAGACTGTCGGTCACAAAATATAAGGCTCCGGCCAGTCGCTCCATGGTTTTGGGCTCGCAGTCGTGCAATCCTGGCGCTACCGAACATGTCCTCTGACCATCTTGTCGACAACTACCCAGCCATTCGCGACACGAACGAGAAGACCCGTCTTCATACCAGCACGATCTCGTCGTCCAAGCACTGGGCGGACTTGTACTATGTCCCATCGATTTGAATAACGAACACCTCAGAGTGCTCGACATTGGCAGCGCCGATGGCTGGTGGCTGACACAACTCCGCAAAGAGCTTGCGCACCCTGAGTCCGCCAAGCTGATTGGCACTGACATCGCACCCTATCCCGACGTGACGAGAACATCATCAGTCACAACTTCAAGACACCCTTCCCGGAGGAGTGGAAGGACTCCTTTGACTGCATCCAGCTCCGAGCAATCCTCGCCAATGTGCCCGGGGACGCCGCGATCGATCTCGTCAAGCGGGCGATGGAGCTTCTCAGACCTGGTGGTTATATCCAAATCGTGGATGGCTCCATGTCAGCCGGTGAGCTCAAAGGTGATGAGAAACCTCACATCCGATTCTTCACAAGCTTAGCCAACTATTTGATTCTGAATGGACTGAACAACAGCCAAGGAGCGCGAGTGGGGGAGATTCTGGACGTTGCTGGGGACGGTGTGCTGGAAGACGTGGAAACCAAGGAAGGCAAGATGCTTTTCGGCAAAGGCGCGGGAGAAATGGAAGATGCAAGTTGGCAGTGGTTGAGATTCATGTTGGAGGTTCAGGCGGGACCTGCGATGTTGAAGGCAGGAGTATTCGCATCGAAGGAGGGCCTTGACACCTTGCGACTGGAGGTGATGGAAGAGGCACAAACGGAGGGCTTTAGCATGCCGTGGCATGCTGCCTGGGGTAGGAAGACGTCTGTCGGATGATTGTGCCTTCAGCGTGTTGGGCGTGACAAATTTTGATAATCTTCTATACAAGTGTATATATATCTGATTGTACCTCAAAGCTACATGAGACTCTCACTTGCACTCTCAACAAATAACGCTTCGATACAGCCCGCTGCTCGACTCAGCTTGCCGCATGCACCGCCTTGCCCAGTTGTGTCTGTCATGGTCGTAGGAAACGCACTTGGCAGGTTGATACGCGTTGCACGTCGCTTGATCAGGCCGGTTGACAAGCTTCCAGGTCGCACGAGTCATCCGGTCTCATATAATGCCGTCGGCAGGAGTTTCATTTAAACCGCGATGTCTCCACCTGCGACCGAACGTCTTGAGCGCGTTGACACGCCGCTACCAACGAATCATTCATGGGCTGAATCATACAAATGTGACGCGTCTCTGGCGTGGGATGATATCGTCCATCATGGGCACAATCGCACGCTGTCGGTATTCGGCATCATGCCTTCCTCTCCTGACCGAGAGTCGAGGAAGCGCTCCGCAGGCGTCCTCGACGAAGGATCTGAACCAGAATCCGTGAAGCGTCTGAAAGTTGTACACAGTGTCGAACTGGGGAGGTTCGCTCGCCTTGGTGGGCCGGATCTCAGCGATCTACGAGGGTATGGCTTAAGCATACCCTCTCGGACGAGATCACGGAGCTGGAGACAGAGCGACAGCACGTCACGGACAGGTCCATTCAATGCCGACTTTAGGCGCAAGCTCGAAGACTGCAGCATCTTCCTTCCGCGATCCAGCTTGCCCAAGACCCAAAATCTCAAAGAGCTCAAGAGGTTCACACAAGATTACGAGACTTCGATTGCCCCTGTAGCATACGAACAATTAGAATACCTCGTGGACGAGTTTGCTGGTAAGCGAAGTCATGTCCAAAGTGGTACCTTTACTGGAAGGCGTACCTACGGAAGCGTACTACTCTGCCGGAGACGAGATCTACGCCCTGGACGCCATTGTGGAAGATGGGCCTGCTGCGAAGCCGAGTCTATTCGATGGCGAAAGAGATGAAGATGTGCTCGATGGGTTCAAGACAAGGTCAACAATCACATCAAGCCTCTGGCAGGATCGTGCCCAATGATACCGAACTTCTTGCTGGAAGCGAGAGGTGCGAAGAGTAAGCCATATGGCGCAAAAGTACACGCTTGCTACGCTGGTGCGTTGGGCGCTCGGGCAATTGATTCGTTGCGTCGGCTCTGCAGACTTCCAAAAGATGAAAATGCTCGTTGCTTTACCGCCATCTACTACAACGGCACTGGTACACTGGAACTGTACGCCCATCACTCTGTGGATGGAGCCTACTACATGACGCCAGTCACCGGCGAAGCCATGATGGGTGACTCCGAAAGGTTCGAGGCTGGTGTAATTGTCTTTCGAGCCTTACGACACCGAGCACGGGTGGGACGCCGAACGCTTTTACAAGCGGCGGCGCAGCTTCGCCCCTTCCTGCGGCAATAGAGTGGGCACTCGGACGACACTCGTCGCCCAACCGAATGCACGCTCAGAAAACTGACCCAGCCGATAGGCCAACTGACACTGCTCACATCGATGCAGCGTTCACCGAATGGCTTGCACATGTCGCTAGGCCGTCATGGCCGTCACGCGTCGACTTCGAATCGGCGCGGCGCAACGCACTGGATAGGGATTATCGAACCTCACGACCCTCGCTGGCCGGTGAACGACTTGAGATCTGTAACAGCGACCACCTCAGCCAGGCCTGCTCGTTGATGGTCGCGTAGGAGCAGCTTCCTTCGGAAGGTGACTGAGGCCTTTCCTCCGCAACTCTTCATGATTCACAAATCCTCATATCTACGAAACGGATATGTGGCGACCCACTAACTAAGAGAAAGATCCCGATAGCCGTTGTCTGCAGCTCTGGTAACACGTTGTCGGTAGTCAATGTTTCCACCAACATAGCGCGCCACAATCCTGGTCGTCTTTCCCACATTACGATTGACACCTGTCACCCACGAGTCTACATCTGAACCCAAAACATTCGCTCCGGAGTCGTTCACGTGCTTTGTCCACTCGTCAACCTTTTCTTTCGTTGCCTCCAACCGCGTCAGCTGCTTGGCCTTAGCGAAGGACAACAGCTTTGTGATCCAGTCAACATTGAATTCAATCACCGGCACAGCGTTTCCAATACCTCCACGTGGTCCGAAGACCATCATCATGTTGGGGTAGTTATCAACCATAAGCCCCAGGCAGGTCTGTGGAGATGGCGTCCATCGATCCTTCAGCTTCTCCCCACCGACACCACGGATGTCGATCCGGTCGAATGAACCAGTCAGGGCATCAAATCCAGTGGCATAGATGATCATGTCGAACTCTCGTTCAATATTGTCTGATGTTTGGATGCCTTTATCGGTAAGGCGATCGATAGGAGTATCTAGCAGGCTGACCAGCTCGACATTTTTCTGATTATAAACCTCGAAGTAATTGGTTTCGAGAGGGAGCCTTTTCAGACCAAAACCGTGCTTTGGAATCAGTTTCTCTGCAGTGATGGGATCATTGACACGACTCCGGACTTTATTAGCAACAAAGTTAGACACCAACTCATTTGCCTTGGGATCGACGAGAAGGTCGCGGAAGTTCCCGACCCACATTCCCATGCCCGGCGCGGCGTACAGCGTTTCCCAGAAGGCATCTCTTTCTTCTGGGGTGACATCGAAGACCGAGCGAGGGTCACCATCGTGCACAAAACAGCCATACGTCTCGGTGCACTTTTTGAACATGCTGGGATAGTTTTCTCTGATTTGCTTCATCTTCTCTTCGGAGACAGGACTGTTACCCAGCGGGCAGGACCAGTTTGGCGAACGTTGGAAGACAGTCAAGTGCTTTGCTGTCTTTGCGACCTCCTGGATCGCCTGGATGCCAGTGGCACCTGTTCCGATCACAGCCACTCGTTTTCCTTCAAAAGTGACAGGAGTTAGCGGCCAACTGGCGGTATGACATGATTCTCCTTTGAACTTTTCAATGTCGAGATCGCTCGGTAGGGTTGGAGCTGATAGGGGGCCAATGGCTGTAACGAGGAACCGACACGTTACCTGCTCGCCCGATTTGGCAGCGGTCAGCTTCCATGTTCGAGACTCTTCTTGCCAGTGGGCTGAAGAGACTCGCGTGTTGAATTGGATGTGTTTGTACAGTCCAAACTTCCTGGCAACGTATTGACAGTACTTCAGATTTTCCGGTTGACTCGAGAAATGCTCCTTCCAATACCATTCGTCCAGTAGTTCCTGCGAAAACGAGAACGAGTATGACTCGCTTTCAGAATCGAAACGGCAACCGGGATATCGATTCCAGAACCAGGTCCCTCCTACGTCCGCTGCGTCGTCGTAGACCTTGACACTCAATCCCAGCGTCTGTACATGGTATAGTTGGCATAAGCCAGACATTCCTGCTCCGATGATGACAACATCGTAATCATATCCTTCATGATTGGGGAGTGGAGTGGGACCGTCGGTGCGAGAACGAGTTGATGCAGGCATTATGGAATGTGCTTTCTGTGTTGACGACTTTCTGAAGAAGAGCAGCGGTATACTGCTTGCCAACAAGTCCTACGGTCAGATCATTTCGCTTACATACCTGCACGTCTGTTGCTCACTGCCTATTTGGTCTCTTTGGCAAAGCCGGAGCATACTGCCTCGTTGCAGCCATGATCATCTGGCATGTCGGAAGGCTGCCAACGACTAACTGTAGTTCCCGATAGAGATCGGGTCGGAAGATCAACCAATCAACTGCCTTCCCGATGCAGTGGCCTACGGGGGACCCGATGGCTTAGCCTGGGGAAGCCGAAAGTTGGGATTCCCGCAAGCCAAGGATTCCAAGCAATGTCCGCGATGCTAGGGTACAGAGCACGTCGCTCTCACGCATACACTGCAGGCAGGTGGCTACACTCACTCATGGTCTTCTGCATATGTGCTATGCTGTCTCCTACTCGGTCTAGCTCTGATCGGCGTGTGGATAGTCTGGGAAGCAAGATTCGCTAAATATCCTATGGTACCTGGACAGCTATTCAAGGGCCAGCGGCTTATTGCACTGTCATATACAACTGCGTTTGTCGGAGGGAAGTTCTGATTCTCTTGTCTGAACTTCCTACCGGCGACCTGGGCTAGCGTCTACCAGCCGACTCTGATCTCCGTCGGTGCAAAGGGTTTGGCACCTCCGGTCGCGACTACGCTGGGAGTGATGTTCTACAACGCTATGCTCAGCTATTTTCCAAAGAACACTCGCGAGTTTTTTCTCTCTGCGGCGCTTCTCATGACGGCATTCGGAGGAGCGCTGGCGACAATGACTCCTGATAATCCCAAACAAACGGTTGCGCTCGCCACACTCGCCAGCTTTGGGTTAGGCGGTATCATCACTCCGACTGCTTCCATCGCTCTCCTCGTGGCACCGGATGCGCTTGTCACCACAGCTACAGCCCTCTCTTTGTCTGTTCGCTTTGTGGGCGGAGCCATCGGATACTCTATCTACTACAACGTCTTCGTTAGGAAATTGACGGCTTTTCTTCCAGCATACACTGCGACATACGCCATCAATGCTGGTCTTGCTCCCGGAGCTGCTGAGACATTCGTTGACGCCCTCCTAACTGCGCCTGCTCAGACCGCAACCGTGCCAGGCCTCACACCTCAAATCTTGGCTGCTGCACCGATAGGTGGCCGCTGGGCGTACGCTGAGGCTTTGCACTTCGTCTGGTACACGTCGATTCCATTCGGTGTCGTCGCCTGCATTTGCCGCTGCTTCTTCACCAGCACTGCGAAATATCAGACGAATCGTGTAGCCGTAGCGTTGTAGGCAGGGGAGGATCCGGAGCCTGAAACTACTTCGCAAATAGGTACAACTTCCAGCAGCGCGGGAACAAGCTGCTACGGTTGCTCAAAAGCTTTCATAGCCATTCCTTCATTTTCGATGCGATGCGCCAATTCTCTCGATACGTCGCCTCCATGCATTCCTATTCTTTTGTCACAATGGTATTGCAGCACCACGTGCTATGTACGTGAGCTTCTCCGGTCAAGTTCAAGGTGGGCAGCAAGGCAGCACGAGCCCCGGTAGTACAAAACGGCATGGACATGCGGGGAAAGGGAGGCGATTGTCAGGGGACTTTCGTGGGGAAACCCCCTAAGACAGCTGCGGTTTCCTTTCCGCTTTCCTCTTTTTCGGCAGGTGCATGGTGACTCCTGCTAACCTCGCAATAACTCTCAAGGTGATCTGCAAACATCGCACATCCTTCTCGCACCGCGACGTTAAAGCCTGGCTCATTACCGATACTACATTCTCGTCTCACAAATAGGATGAACGCTATGCTTTGACGCGGGCTACGAATCATGTCATTTGCCGCGGCAGCTGAAAGGCGTCGCCGCCGCTGTAACAACGCCTGCCACAACTGTAAAAGGCGCAAAGAGAAATGCGATGGCTTGAGACCATGCCAGAGATGTCGAGACAGACTGGTCAACCACGAGTGTCGCTCAACTGCCCCGCGGATAGTTCAGGAGCACCTTCACGCTCGGATCGAGGCCAAGGAGCCGCAAGCCGTTGATGTGTCAACGCCTCCACTTCAAGAGGGCGACGTGAACGACAGGCCCGGGACTCATCAACAAGACAGGATTTGGGGCAAGTCTTCACCGATGTTGGTCGAACAGGCTGACGGAGATTTCACCTTCCTCGGAGATTCTTCAGCTTCAGCGCTTCTCCAAAGCGTCCGCGAACTTGCAAGGAAAGCTATCGGTGACTGTTCATTTGTGACCCTTTCACCCAATCTATTCGATGGCCCTCCAATCGACGAGACTAGGGTCCGACACATGCCTGGCACGTTGGTCGCGCCTTCCAAGCCCAGCCTCGACGAAGCTCGGTATCTCGTCAAATGGTACCTGTACAGTACAGCTTGCTATGGAGACTTGTTCGACGAAAGCACTCTGGTGGAGGAGCTTTCAGCCTGGTCAACGGACCGTGAGGAGACACAGGATTGGACAAGCGCCAGGCTTTTCCTCGTCCTGGCACTGGGCGCACAGACTTGTCCAGAAGACAAGGATCACGTTGCTCAGGAGTATTACGCTTACGGGCGGGTACTAACAGTCTTTGACGCTATGGAGGAGTCGAGTGCTGGCTTGGCTGCCGCACAATGCTATGTGCTCATCACCCTATACCTACTGAACGGGTCACGCCTCAACGCCGCATACATGCATCTCGGCCAGGCCGCCCGCGCTGCATATGCTCTGGGGTTGCATCGAAGCGACCTAGTCAGCGCAATGCCTGCTTTGGAGCGCAGGATGCGAGATCACCTCTGGAGAGCCATTCGCGCTATCGATATTCATTTCAGTGCCACTCTCGGAAGACCCCTTGCAACTCACGAGGTTCGGAAGTCAACTACCATCTTGAGAAACTCTCCCACCGTGGACATGTGCATGATATTAGAATTAGTGCTTACTGAAGCATACTCCAAGTCGTCGATAAGTACCAAAGCGCTGTATCGCATCCTCGGCCTCAACCGCCAGTGGGCGGCCCAATATTTTCCTGGTTCCCAATCTAATTCACACGGCATTCATGAACGAGTTGAATCAGGCGATAGTCTATTACCAGACATTGGCTCATGCCAGCTCAAGCAAGCTTTCTACGGCGCGACGTTACTACTGACTTCAAGGTATCTGTCAGGGAGCGTAAAAGTAAGGACCAGAGGTGTGAGCCCCAACCTTTCTCAGGAACGAGCTGCACCTGGAGCCCCTTCGCCACAGATACTGACCGTAGCATGCGTCCAATCCGCCATCGATTTGATTGAGCTTTATCGAGAGCTGCTCGTTGCTGAGCAGACACCGAAGCGTCTTCCGCTTGTTGTGAACTCGGTGTTTTATGCTGCGCTGGTGCTGGGCATGGCGACTTTTGGTGATGTTTGTACAACGTTACCGCTGAATGGATATCTGCAAACAGCCAGCAAGCTGTTGTCCATGTTTCACAAGCATGATTGGCTAGCACGTCACTACCTCCAGATCGTGGAGCATTTGGGAGAGGCCTGCAGATTCTATATTGAGAGGAAGTCGCGAACTGAGCTCAAGAGCCGGCGAGATTTGATCGGCAAGCTATTTGGACACGTTGACGGACATCTCGACAAATCTCCCAACAAGCAATCGACTCGATCAAGCCTGAACTCAAGCCTGACCGAGCAAAGCGGTCGATCCCCCGTAGGTGGCGGACTCATTGATCATAACATGGCATCAGTAATCTCTCAGTCGGCCCAGCTTGAGCCTCAAGGTTCGGACATTGGGAGTGTGATTCTGGATGCCTTGGACTTTCCCAGCCTTCTCGATGCATCACATTTGAATAGTACCTCCGATCAAGCGCTTACGACGCCTCTTTCGCCTTTCTACGACGCAATTGACCTGCTGAAGCCAGATGCAGATTTCGTCTGGCCCAGTCCATTTACTGGTGGAGCCTTTCAGGCACTGCCAGTGGACGTGGCCGGCAGGTGACTCTCTAGAAAGCCCGTCTCAGCCTCATACCAACCTCCGTGAGGGAAGCTTCGATCTCGATATCTCGGCATACTGGAACTAGCTGGCACAGTTTCTAATGGCTTGTGATGTACATTCACTTGTTGATCAGTGATGGTCTGGTCTGCGCAGCCGACTTTATTTCACGAGGAAGAGATGGATGGCATACGGTCAACAGGGAACAGCCTTCCTATACGGCGGTCTCACTCGATTTTGAAGAGGCTCACAGCCTTACACACGAGTGTACAAATTGAGCTTCGAGCACTCCATTATTTGACTCAGCTACCGCAAGGCCCACGCAGGTTCAAAGCCTGCCTTGTATCTTCGCAGCCCGTTGAATATTACGCTGTATGAGAGATGCCTGCCATTCTGCCATAGCTGGAAGCCGCACTATCTCCTTCATGCTGGGCGCTTCAGCCTCGATGCCTTTGCGGTAGTAGAGCCCCTCGGCACAGGTTTCAACAATCTGTCCATTGTGGCCCAGAGTCTCATCGATCAGCTCATCGAACGCTCTCATCACAATCGACATATCTGTCAGCAGCCTTTCCGGGAAACGCTCCCGAAAGGTTGGTTCAAGGCCGGTAACGACCAGGGCAGGACAAATAGCGTTGATGGTAATGTTATGAGCAGCCGCTCTAGGGGCTAACGACCGTACTAGACCGACCACCCCATGCTTTGCTCCCGCGTACATAGGTATCGCCGGACTAGGATAATGACCTGCACGCTTGCCGTAGCAACAATCTTGCCTCCAGGAACAGGATTCTGGGCAGCGTAGTGTGCAAAGAGCTTGATGCCATAGTACACCGCCGTGAGATCGATGTCAATGACTGACGTGTCAGGCTTGGTTGGCGGCTTCGATGTATCGATAGAACTGAAGATGTCGTCCCTGTCGTCGATGCCAGCATTCAGCGCCGCGAAATCCAACCTTTGATGCCATTTGAAGGCTTTGGAGAAGAGCTCTGCTTGTTCGTCGAAACTGCTCACATTTGTCTTGACAAAGAGTGTTCGATCTGCAGGGAACTTCACGTTCGCTCCAAGAGGCGTGATGTCCGCGATTACCACATTCCAGCTCTTCGCCAACAGATGCTCAACTAGTGCATAGCCGATGCCTGAGCTACCGCCAGTCACTAACGCGACCTTCGACATTCCGGCAGCAGTGTTTTTTGACCTCACTGATAGCAAATAGATCGCGTACGCGTTTTGATGAGGTTAGTGTTACTTGGACCTGATGACTTGCTTCCTTCTGTGCCAGGATCTCGAAGAGCAGCTGGCTGCGTGATACTCCGACTATATCGTAAGACTTCCACGCTGTCCTCGCGACACCTCAGATTACCACAATCACCTTTGCGTTTACCTCGGACTCCCTCGCCCACCCATCTTCGCGTTCATTTGGACCCGGGGTTGCAGCAGCAAGTCATGTTTACCGTAAACCCTTGTTGGAGGGTACCTACCCCACAGGCTGCCCTTGTGTGGTCGGGCCAATTCCGAAGAAGCCGATGAGATGGGGCATTATCCGAAAGCTGGGGCAGAGATCCGAACGCAGATCTGGTTAGTCCCTGCAAGGTCCACGCAGCCGAGGCATAGCATACTCGTACACGCATTGGACAGATTGCACGTTGACCTTTACCTGTCCCGGCCGCGAAGGTCCAGATGTGGCTGCAGGCCGCCGTCTACGAATCCATGTCTGCCAACTGGACGAAGGCCTGGGAGCGACTCCTGGCTCTGGAGAAGATGAAGGCCTGCCTTCCGACTATATCTGAGCGACTTCCCTTGCACTATTCTCGTCCAGACTATTTGACACACAGTGTAGACCCACCTTAGAAGATATCGCCTCCGGAGAGTGCTCGAGCCAGCTTACCTGGAGATAGACCTACGGGTCGTTGGTCCACTCGCCGTCTCAGCAGCTGAGGAGAATTGAATTCCAAGAGCAGAATTTATCCGCATTCTAACCGGAAGCACTGCCCATCGTCTGTAACTCGGTCACTCAGTCCGGGCTCTCGCACCGCTATGTCTTCTGTCGCCTCGGCGCCATTGCCGACAACTAATGGAATTCATGATTCCCACACAGCATCGGTCAAACCCTCCGTGATGGTACATTCAGAGGTCGACACACAATTAGTCCAGAAGCTTCAGGGGAAAGTCGTGGTAGTGACCGGTATGATGACCATCCGCGAACTTATCAAGTAATGATCTTCAACCTGACCGCACACAACAGGGGGCTCATCGGGAATAGGCCTGGCCACATTAAACCTCTTCGCCGCCAAAGGCGCCTTAATAGTCAACGGTGATATCCAGCCGCCCCCGGATTTTGACGGGAAGGGATCGTCGTCAATCACTCACGAGAAGACCGATGTCACGAAATGGGCCGATCTGTGCTCGCTTTTTGAAAAAGCGAAAACACTGCACGGCCGAGTTGATCATGTTTTTGCCAACGCCGGCATTGCCCCTGGAGATACGTACATGAGCTTACAGGTAGACGACAGAGGACAACTGCTCGAACCATCACACCTTGTGATGGATGTCAACCTCAAGGCCTTGGTCAATACAGTCGCTCTCGCTGTCCACCATATAAGACCACGGGCGAGAGATGATGTTGGAAGTATCGTTATTACTGCTTCGGAATCAAGTGAGTAAGCCCATACGATCGCTGGTTGCAGACCACGGAGCATGCGGCAGTCGCGTTCGTCATTAAACATTGTACTGACTCTGTGTCTAGGCTATCAAAGATACTTACCAACAGAATATGGTAAGTCGAATAAGGTTCCCATGGCTCGTTCGAGCAGCAAGAATCAAAGCAATGCTAAGTATCAATACGTAGCGGTTTCGAAACACGGAGCTCTAGGCCTCATTCGTGCCATGCACGCAAACGTACGACATCATGACCTATCCATTCGCGTGAACGGAATCATGCCGTCCTGGACCGCGACGGGCATGGTGCCGGTGGAGCTTATGGACGCACTCGGCTTCCCATGGCAGCCCGCTGAGGCAGTCGCTAGTGCTGTCGGTTTGCTGATGGCAGATGAATCGAGAGACGGTCAAGTACTTTACGTCGCGAAAGGAAACATAAAGGAGGTTGACGAAGCCATCTTGTTGAAAGCGGCGTGCCAGGTTCAAGACGTCGATAGGCTTACTGCGAATGAGGAGTATCTCAAGCTCATCGCTGCGATAGCGAACGGTAAGGCATGAGCGGAAGGATGATTGTCAGGTGGTCGCGTACGTAGTGGGCAAACGCGTATACAAGTGGGGTGTCTCGTGTGCCGACGTGTGACGTTCGCCGCCGAAGATGTCTTGTCCTTCAAGTGCTTCAAGTGAAGTCGTTCGAAGGTCTCACTACGTGTCTCAGCCTTGTCGTGAAATTACGACACTTAATGAAAGCCTGGTGGACTTCCGTACAGCGAACCTCTCTTGCTCAACATCTGTCGACCGCACCTGTCACTAACAGAGACCCTTGAAGTACGCCAGATATGGAGTGGAACAGATGTTCCGCTTGCGCAGGCGACTTCGAGTATGGATACCCACAGGGTAAAAAGTGTCCGAGATGCGGTAAAGGTGTGGTGAGATGGGCCAAGGCGAATTTGGTAGTTTCCGGGAAGAGTGGCAATGTACGTCTGAGCGAAAACCATGGAAAGGCTATGGCTAATATGAGAAGAAGGATCAAGACCAGGCCAAACCTGTCTTCGAAGGGGAGACATCTCGGCGCAGAATAGCAAACATCAAACCTCCGACGGACGTCGCACTGGCAACATCGACAAAGGCCTCTCAGCAATCTACCCCAGCGCCACGCCCCGGCGGCTTGATTTTCGATCCAGTCACCCAATTGTCCACCTATGCGACCGACCGTAACCAAGACAATATGCGATACAGCACAGATGCTGGACAGGAGGGCGGAAGAGGTGCGCGTAGCGGTGCGACTGATGGCGCGGCAGTCTACATGACGCAGCAGAAGGGCTCGATGACGCTATCGCAGCGGATGCCATTCGTGTCTTGGTCGAGAGGTTCCGTGCTCACGAGGAGACGATACGCGCCCGAAACGTGGAGATTCGTGCTCACCAAGAGACGATACGCGCCCGAGATGTGGAGATTCGTGCTCATCAGGAGATGATACGCGCCCGAGACGTTGAGATTCGTGCTCTACAGGAAGATAATCGCGCCCTGAAGAAGCGCAAAATTGGCGAGGCTTGATTGCAGCAGCTGCATACTTCCTTGTGGTCTTCTGGAAACGCCTAAGACAGCGGGACAAGGCGCAGCTACCCCACGGCATTGTTTGAGACACTCTGTTGCAGTGCTGCTGTGGCTGTGTTTGTCAGTCAATCATGAAATGATAACGTCGAATCCCATCCTCTGAGTGTTCCCAAGACTCTTCTGCATAGCCATGAACTTTGATTTTTGCTGCGGCGACCAGCATGGCTTCCGATCGCTAGGCCGTTATGCGAGCGCGAATGTCCTCTTCGACGGACAGCAGCAGAATGGCGCCAAAGTTCGCATTTCGTCACCTCTTTCGACCGCCGGACGCCTTCTCTTGGCAGCCACCGTCGACCCCAACCAATAACTTGCCAGGATTCCTCGCACTTCCGCACACTTTTCGAGATTCATGCAGGACAGCCCCAGACCCCGAATTTGGGGAGTGGCCAAATGCAACAAGCATGCAGCCATAGATAGCGGCGACCGAGGATCACCGCAAGGCGGATGGCATTAATTGGCAATAGGGAGTGACATTGGTATGCGTTGGCTTGAGATCTGCGAGATTGCGCACTGCCGATCTTATGTGTAGATGAAGATATATCTGTAGACAAGTCGAGGTGATCCCCTTCATGTCTCTTGAATTCGTATACCACACCCCTCAAGCTCACCACAACCCACTACCATCATCCAAAGAATCACAGCACTGCGAGCACAACAAACCGAGCACGAGCTCACAGCGCCCTCCACTATGGGTCTCGGCACAGCCATCCTCGCCATTCTAGCAGTGTTCCTCCCACCCCTCGCCGTCTTCCTGAAAACCGCCTCTTGCGGCCAACTCTTCATCAACCTCATCCTGACTTGCTTGGGTTTCATCCCTGGAATCATTCGTATGTCCCTGCTCTTTTCCGTCGAAGAACTCAAGATGACTGAAGGTGGTGTAGATGCAATGCATGTCGTCACTCGAGACAAGTACGCAGGCGGAGGCGGCGTGTACTACTATGAGAAGCCGAAGAAGAGGAGACGGTGGTATGCCGCGCCGATGGCTGCTGGCGGCTCTGTGGGCGCTGGCGGTTGTTGAGACTCGTTGTGTTGAACCAGAGAGGTGGCAGCGGTCCAGACGTGACGCAATTCGTAACGCCCGACGATGGCAACCCTGGGCGCCGACGGTGCGGCCCTCGGCGAGGACAAGCGGATCGCACACTGTTCATCAGCTTCGACTGCCCGAATTGGAGGTCGATGTCGGGAGTCAAGGAGGCAGAGGAGGAGCATGTTGTGTAGGCTCCGGATGAAGCGTGGACTTGGTATCCGTGGTGTGGCTGTTGACGGTCGCGTGTGTCCGTATCTTCTCAAGCTCTTTGCTTCCAAATGCTATCATGTGCAGCCCCTGTTCCATCGCAGCGAGGTACCCTGGCATGTTCGGTTCCGGCGCCCTCCACTGATTCCTTGTCAGCGAGCGTATGTCTCTCGGTCCGACCACTCTTTTGACATATTCTAAGGAGCGCACAAGTCGTGCCGGTGGTGCTGAGTTCTCAACAAGCGGACGTGCTGAGAATGTAGGGTGCTCGGCGGATCGCGGTTGGGCGAGGTGTGTTGGGTCGTTCGGCATTCGGAGGACGATCGCGGCGGGAGGAGGAGGAGCGCGCTCTTTGGTCTAGATGTCTTGAGAGTGGGCTGCAGGTCGAGTTCGTGGACAGGTCGACTTACCGTTCGGAGCCAATGAGCGAAAGTCCAGAGTCGGTTCCGACGATGCCTGCAATATGATCGGCGGTGTCTCTGGTATCTGATTAGCATGCAACGTGGATAGGTCTCTCTCACTGATGATGTTCTGCATCTGAATGGGTGGTGCCGCTCAACCAGTAGCGACTTTGATGGACGTTGCTTCGGAGTTCTCTTGGCCTGGAGTTCGTCCAGTTTCTAGTCAGCACCACGTAGAGGTGAAACTCCTTCGCCGACCATGGTTTGTGCTCCAAACCACCAACGAGAGACTGCCTTCTCCTCGTTGTCTGACTCGCCTTTCTGCGCGTTCAGCTTCGCCAGTCCCACATTTCCGCTGCGCAGTCAGCCACCTGCGCCAGATCTTGACGACACTTCTTCTCAGCCTCACCACAATTCATGGTAGACACCCCTCCGGCAGAGCCGACCTGAGAAGACGAGGGCGTGCACCTCGTCGCCGGCCTGCAGGGAGTCGCCTTCTGGGGCGACTCTGTCGCATCTCACAACTTCGTTCGACTTGTCCTCCTGCACTTCGTGGCCGAACGCCCGAGCACAACACTCATCTCTTCATCCACATTCTCCGCATCACCTCAGTGGTTCCTCCGAGGGATCTCTTCTGCCTCTTCATCGGCTTCCAGCCAGAAAGCCGGGTCCGCCATCTGCGACACCCATCGCTGACTCAGGTCCTCCATTCGCGGCCTGACCATCCGCACTCCACCATGCTCACGCAGTATGGCTCCTGCCTCTTCTTCATGCCCTTGTACTCGAGCTCAATCTCGAGTAAGCACACCGAGAACCTCGGTCCAACAGCCGAGACGTGCTGCCGCAGCCTGACCATCCGCACTCCACCAACTCATGCAGTCCGGCTGCTGGCTTGCATTGAAAACACCACGGATCGCGATGTCCGGCTCCACCACAACTTCTTCTGGAGGTTATGCCAACCTCAAAACGCCACGGCGATTCTCCGTGCGTGATTCTCGTTCATTTTCGCCGATGAGCCATGCATCTCCAGAGCGACCATGCCCAACAGCCATTACGCTAATGATCCATGCATTGCCCCAAAGACCATGTCCAACAGCCACTCCTCCACCGTGTCGAAAATGGCGTACGCATCCCGCCAGGGACCATACCCATCCGACAACGTGCACACCCAACCTGCGACGCCACAACCTTGCTCGGCTCTTGCTCTGCTTCGCAATTTGCTCATTTTCGCCGATGATCCATGCATCCCCCAAACGACCATGCCCAACAGCCATTACGCTAATGATCCATGCATCGCTCGAAGGACCATGTCCAAGGGTGGCTTCCACACCATGTCGTAGATGGCATATGCATCCTGTTACGGACCATACCCAACCAACATTGACACTCTTGCCACGATTGTCTGCACAATCGCCCGATGAAACTTGCACTGCATTGCACAGCCATGCTCAAAGACTGAAAGGCAAGTGAGTCCACCTCCCATCGCCTGCCGCGATCTTCGCTCACCGATGCACCACCTCACCCTGCCGGTGGCCGATCAGCCACCTCGACCATACTGGATCAATGTCCACTATTTCTGGTCTCCTCCGTTCTCCATGCGCGATGTCCTCCATGCGCGATGTCCTCCATGCGCGATGTCCTCCATGCGCGATGTCCTCCTTCGCCATCCTCTTCCTTCGCCACTCTCCTTCCTCGCCATCCTCCTTCCTCGCCATCCTCCTTCCTCGCCATCCTCCTTC